AGATCAAAGATATTGCAGGCCAGGTGGTTCCCAGTACCCCTGCAAGCACCTGCTTAACACTGTAGGTCTTTATTAAAAAAAAACCACAAACAAAAAAAACACACACAAAAAAAACCCTAAACTAAAAATGACTGGATTTTTAATGTTGCTCTTTAATCTTTTTAGGAACATGTAAAAGAATAAAAAAGGGCCATCATTCGTCCAAGGCTGTTACCATTTTCAACGCTGCCAAATTTTGCCAAAAAAAAAATGAACTCTTTGTTTTTTGTTTTTGTTTGTTTTTTTTTTTTTTTTGCTTACTTTTCTGTTTTTTTGTAGTCATGGAAGGAGCACAGTAATCAACTGCTCTGTTCAAAACAGATCCTGACCAATATGTTCTATTCAGTCATGCACTGGTATTTAAAAAAAAAAAATAATTAAAAAGTCAAATTGTTTAGATCCGTTTTCAAAACTGGACAAAATGTGATTTCTATTTTTTTTTTCTTGTGATGGAGAAGATAAAAGGGATGGGGTAAAGAACTAGCCCTCCCTCCACCCCTGTCCCCATCCCAGTGAATTCTGGACAAAACTGGCAGTGGTGAGCTAAACAAACACGTGCATTTCGTACAAAAAAGTCAACCGCCCGCCAAAAATGAGTTACGAAAAACCTGAAAATAAGCGGCCGAGATCTCCATCGTTGCAGCCTGCCTTCCTTCCCAGGCTTGCAAGGAAAAAACACCTAGAAACATAAATTGGAGAAGACAAAAAAAAGCAGTAACCGGATTCAAGTATATGATGCTTTTTTGACCTTTTCTCTTTATTATTAAGACTTCTCGAAGGGTCTTGCAGTTCTATGTTAGACCATGGATCATTTGCATACACATTGTCTTTTGTGTCACTTTTATAACTTTCTTACGGTTCAGATACTCATCTATATGTCTGTACAGAAAAAAGCTGCTATTTTTTTTGTTCTTTATCTTTGTGGATTTAATCTATGAAAACCTTCAGGTCTGCCCTCCTTCCCTTCCACTTCAACAAATTTTCTTATGCTTTGTACTATAGTGTGTAACTTTTACTTCCTCCTTCCCAGTAACTGATACCTTTCATATGATTTGCCATGAACTGTTTAATGCCTTTTTATAAATACATTTCCTCCTTTTTTTAAATTTTTTTTTTAAATTTTATTTTCCTTCCCATTAGTTGTTTTACAACATCTTGGCTGTGTGGGCTACAGGGCTTTGGAGGGGGACGAGGAGAAAGAAGGGACACCCCGCACAGGAACACTCTGGCAGTGCTGTGGTGTGGTGTTTTTAAGCCCCAGTTTTCCTTCCTTCTCACTAACCTCTGCCCAGACAGCACGCGAGTCTCTTACAGTGCAAGGCGTGATACAAACTCAGGTCAGAAACAAAAGGTTAACTATTTAGTACATTCTTGTTCAGTGTTTCTATTCATTGTTGTACAAGGGTCCTACCCCTCCTGCCCTCCCTGCTTGTTCACACATCCACCCGCCCATCCCCACACAGACACACACACACACGTATTCTTTTTAAATTATTAGTTGGGTACAACAGCAGACACCAGGCTTTTGGGTCACTGATCCTTAAAACGATTCTTTTACCCCTTCCACCCTGTGAACAAGAGCTGTGCCAGGTGCAGCTGTCGATGCCAGGCATTCCTAGGGTAGCCATCAATCTCCTGGCTCCAGCCAACCCCAGCTCTTCACCTTCCTGATGGGGAAGCCCTCGTGGAGGGGATCCCTCGTGGAGAGGAGCCCTCCTGGAGGGCACCTGGGCTGCACTTCCCAGCCCTGGTGAAGAAAAGCACCCCCAAGCAAAGGGAAGCCCCCACGTAGTTTCCGTGGGGCTGGTGGGCAGCTCGGAGCTGGGGCCGGCGGCTCGGCTGGCAGACAGTGAAGTGTTGGCAGCTATGGAAACCTGTACAAGTCTAAGCTTGTGGCTTAAATCACAGACCAAACCTCAGAACAAAAGAAGACGAGTGAGCTTGTTTGTTCAGTTGCAGAAGCCTTGGTGAGAGGGGAAGGAGGGGCCGTCAGGAAGTCGAGCCCAAGGAGTCGCAGCAGTCGCTCATCTTACCTTAGTTCCAGTCTAGGCCTTTGTTTAGCACTGATCCAACCAAACGATGGCAGGAAGAGGTGGTTCTGGGATGGAAATGTTCAAATCTTTTGAGTAAGAACAATGAGTAAAAATATACTGATTGCTAGTTTTGACTGGAGATTTTTAAAAGTTTGTAGTGCTTTTTGCTTGTGTAGTTTAGGTCCCATTATCTTCTCTTGCCTCTGTCCCATAGTTATTTTTCCCTTTTGAAAATGAAAAAGACAAAAAAGTTAATTAAGAAGGTATTCTATGTAGGATTTTTTATTTATTTTTGTGATATCAGTTTAAATCACTGTAGAGATGCCCCATAATGAATTTAAATACTGAGATAAGGGTTTTAGAGTATGACGGGGGACAGTTTTTGATTTTTTTTTTCAAACATTTATCTACCTCACTCTTAATTTTTTATATGTGTGTATATAAAAAAAATACATCTCACATTTCTCAGCAGCCAATAAATGCCGTTGATACTGGTAACCTCTCACTCCATATACCACATGCTCTAGGTTCTGCAGGGGAACAGTCACTGCCTGCCACAGACGGTCACCTCAGAATATTTGCCTCAATTCCAAGGGGTTTCTCTGTTTTCTTAAAATTTGTGGGGAGATTTTCTTAAAATTTGTTGTGAGGAGAAACCCAAGAGTTGTCTGATTTAGGGTGACCATTCTTTAGGGAAACACGGAGGCTTTTTAATATGCTGTCACAGCAACCCTTGGGTCAGCAGCAAAACTCTGCGTGTTTGGATGAGTGGAAATGCAGCTGACCTGATAAAGGAACTTGAAATTGTGAGTATTTCTTGAAATATGTTACAGAAATCAAATGTTTACAATATTTGAAGGTCCAGAAGAAATACTAAAGGGAATGTTCTGTTTGTCCTGTAGAATGGACTGTCGTTCCTGCCAGTTCTTGCTCAGATGTCACAAGCATCAAAAAGCTATTTGGCTGAATCAGATCCCCAAAATAAATTGGCTCATATCGGATGGCATTGCTTTCTTGACCAAAACCTGTCACTGGCTGCTACATCAAATTTAAAGCTTTGATCTTTGCTGCTTCTGTTTGATGAGAGCATTGATTTTTTAATTTTTTTTCAAAACTAACATTGAATTGATTTATTTTACCGTGCCAGTAAAAAGTCAGTTCCCTTTTCTTCCCCAGTTTATATGCATTATAACTGTGGATTCTGATGGACCAGCCATCAAATTTTAACTGCCCTCTGACAGCATGTAACTGGTTTACAAGCACACAGGACTAACACGAGCTTGCCATCAGCTTGCTGTATAATGTTTCCTTTTTTCCAGCTCTGGCAGCTGTTCGTGCAGGTGTTGGTTGTGGTATCTGAGTAATGTGGTGCTTGGCTACTTGGAGTTGTACCCGGCCTCTTGGATACACAGCGCTGTGGTTAATTACTGCAGTTTGTCTTTGGAGGGGCTTTCTCCCTAGTCCTGAGAAACCAGCAAAATTGGAAGTTTTCACTAGATTCATTTGGTTTTCCATGTCTGATGTTCAAGTGACCTTTGGGTGCAGTGGCTGTTCCCCTCCCTTGCACATATTGATTACCACAACTGGAGATCCTCAGATCTTTCAGCTGGCTAGGAGGGTTTTGTTAAAACTGTCCGAGTTACTGGTTTGTAGAATTGTACGTAGGTGGTTTTACAATGCATTAGGAAGAAACACTAATGACATAGCATCACAAGAAGCATTTCAAAAAGCACTTCAGTAGAAGACAGCCACGAGGCCTCGTGTCCGTGTGTGATGGCAGTCAGCTCTCCTGGACCAAACCACCTTCATGATACCATTGCATTCTGTGTTTGCAATTCAAGCTTAATTCCTTTTTTGTTCTGTTTGTTTCCATAGCTTTTTTTGTTGTGTTTTGTGCATTTTGAATAGCTTTATTCACATGGGTTTTTCATGCAGACTTCCCTTGGACAGTAAATCGAGTTGTTTGTGCATGTGAACAACTGAGAATTAATGTTGGCTTGATAGAGTCATAATATGGTTTGTAATGTTGTTCTTCCCTGAGACCACTGGCTTGTCTGGTATGGAAAATTTATTTAGAACTTCAGCTATGTTTGAATAAAGTTAAAGTAATCCAGTTTGTTTATAAATTAAACACAAAAGCCCACCCAGCCCTGAAAACCAGCCTTTTGAGGAACAGCACCGAGATGTTCCGATGCGGTGGGATAACGAGCTGGCGTCGCCGAGGGGAGCAGGCGGCAGCGGGGACCCAGGGCTCGGCTCTGGGCCTCTCCTGAGTGGCACTGCACAGTGCCCCTGGCAGAGGAGGTGGTTTGGTTGCAGGGAACACGATTGCTGTGCACACACAGCCGTGGCACTCGATCAGGCGCTCCTTGGTGGGAGGATAAACCAGAGGTGGCAGCCCAGCACGGGGCAAGGTGTGGAGCTGCCTGTGTGATGTCCCTGCTCCTCCCAGCTGGTGCCAGGTGCTCTGTGGTTCCAGGTGCACTGGTGCTCCTCTTGGTCTCTTAAAGGAAAGAAAGCCCAGTTTGCCCAGCACAACTGTGACCAGAGGGAGCTGCTGTCATGCCCTCTGGGAACTGCTGAGGGGTGTTGGGTTCAAATCCAAGTCTAAGTGAACAACGCTCCTATTGTTGGTGTAACTCCATACATATATATCTATATATACATATATATATCTGCATATGTATATTTATAATATAGATATATATATATTTAAACCCTTTTCATTCCATTAGTACAAGTAACACTTGTTTCCTGTTATTCCTATTTTGCTTGTCAACCTTGTATTCAATCACTGGGCTGAACAACAGTGGAGGAAGGTGCAAGGGATCCACTCCTTACTAACCAGTGATAAAGCCAGATGTTGCAACTTAACCCATGAGTAGATGTGCAGACAAGGATTGAAGAATGATGTGTAGGAACAACACAAGTGGCCAGGGGTGCTGAAGATACAGAACTCAAGTAGACAGGAGGGCTTCAATGGGCACCTCGGTTCAGAACTGGTTGCTTAGAGGTGCTGAACAGCCTCTGACGTGGAGCAGCTGGGTCAGTCAGCACGGAGGAATTTGTGGGGAGACACCTGACAACAAAGGACGCAGCAGTGGGGATTTACAGAGACACAGGGCTTGGCAGAAGTTTGAGGTAGTATCCTGAGCTTTATCTGTGGGACAGCATCTACGCTCAGGTGTCCCAATTCTGATTGTTGGTACTTGTAAATGAACCTCTGGACTTTGCAGCTGGAGCAGTAAATTCCTTACCAGGAGTGTGGCAGTGGTTGGTCATTGGCCTGTACGGATCGGTCTCACCTACAGCCGGCCTGTTCTGCAAGTACCTTAGGACTTCACTAGTTTGTGTGTGTGCTTATGCGTGTGTGCTCATATATATATTTTTTGGGTATGCGTTCTGTTGATTAGTAACCATTAATTAGCATTTTCAATAGGGCTTTAAGTCCAGTAGATTACGGGTAGTCAGTTGACGAAGATCTGGTTTACAAGAACTAACTAAATGTTTCATTGCATTTTGTAAGTACATAGAATAATTTTATAAAATGTTTGTAGTTTATAAATGCCTAAAATATAATTTAAGGGCACTTTTCTGTGTCCGTGTGTGGGTGTGTCTGTCTGTGATCAGTTTTTCCATGGTACCAGTTACTAGTTAGCTTTACAATATGCCAAAAAGGAATCGCTGACTTGTCCAATTCATGGCTTGTCCCTCTCCCCCGTCCCGCCCAAGCTTTGTGACCCAGTATACAGCGAGTGAGTAAAGGAGGTGGGAAAATGTTCTGTATCTTCAGTATCCTGGTCTTCCAGAGCCCTCTGGTTGGGGTGGGATCCTCTTACCTGGTCATTTCACTTTGCTGTCTAGGGCAGTTACCTTCATGGATGACAGGAACCTCACTGGTCAGGAAACAGAGCGGGGTTTGCTGCTCCCCAGGCTCTCGGGGCCGCTCAGCACCTGCGCCACGGGGGCCTCGTGCTTTGAAGGATGCAACTGCATCAGGGAAAGAGGAAAGGTGGTTTTGGTAATTACTATTGAAGAATTCTTTGCAAATTTCTTATCACTTTAAATGCTTGTGTGCAGCTTCTAAAGCTGTTGAGCACCATTGGAAGCTTTGTTGAAATGAGCAAGGCAGAGTTCCTATTTATTGTTATTTAAAAATCTTGAAGATGCAACCTCTCTGCTGTGGACAGGGACACCTTTATCTTCTTCTGTTTTCTGAACCAGTGAGGTTTGAGATGAAAGGATTGGCCAGAGTTTGTCTACCTCTGGGACAAAAAAAACTAGAAAGTGCTAAGGAATGGATGCAGTTGCAAATACATTTTCCAATTTTTCTCGTTTAAATTTTTTTAAGAGAAAATTAAACAATAACATGGCCAATTTACTACATAAAAAGACTTGCTGTGTATAAATTATTCCTAAAGAAATTCCTGTGTTTATATTAAAATCAGTAGATAAAAAAAATTTCAAAATGTTTTTGTATATTCTGTTGTAAGAATTTATTCCTGTTATTGCGATATACTCGGGATTCTTTACATTATGAAAAGAAGAAACTTTGTCTATTTTGAATGGCTGAAGCTAAGGCTCCTTTAGTTTCTCTTACTCTGCTTTTTTCTAGTAGTTTCAGTACTACATGATTTAAGTTAAATAAAAGAATTCTGTATGCATTTGTTTGTTTCTGATTTTGTTGCTCCTTATGCAAAGCGAGAACAGGTTAGAAAACTTAGAAAAGCTGCTCTGGTCTTCCTCTGCCCTTTCTGGCTGCATCTAATTGAGCTACTCTTAATTACAGTTAGTACTGCCATTGTTTGGTTGAAATCAAAAGCATTTTCATCCGGAGACACTGAGCTTTTGCATCCTTCATGGCTGAGATTTGAGCAGTTTTGCACGAGGTGGTTCCTATGAATAAGGTGAGCATTGTTATTTATTTACCTACAGAGCAATCCTCGTGTGAGGCATTCAGCCAACAAGCACCTGGTTTTCAGCTTTCTGTAAAGACAGTGGCCAAAAAAACAGGGTTATCTTGGTGTTTCCACTTCCTCAGACTCTTGGCATCAACGTGTTGACTAAAACAAAGCTCAGAGGTGGCCTGAAGCCCCAGCAGCTGCCTGTGCTGTTGTGTTTGTCTCTTGTGCTTTTTACTGATGGTACTTGAGGAACAGGCTTTTGTTTCCCTCAAGAAATCCCAGGTGTCCAGATTAAGCTTCTGCTGTGCTGCTCCTGAGTGATTTCATCTTGTCCTTTTCTGCTGGCAGCAGGATTTCAGAGGAGAGCGTGGGCATTCCCTGTGTGCTGAAGGGCAGTGCTGTGACCCCTGTGGTACCCAGCACTTCTGTATGGAGCTGTTTGAGATGTGTAGGAGTCTGCTCCCATGTTTTACAATTTGGGATCTCCTTTGGTGCCTGTTCTGTAAGTAACCTCATATGCCCTAGCCCTCCCCACAGCACAGTGCTTCAGGATTGCCTTTCTCAGGACAGGTTAGCTGTTGGATTTGCCTTTGGGCTGTGCTCTGTGGAAGGACTATGGGGTTTTCCCTTGTGACAGGCACTGAGAATCTGGGGAAAGTGGCTGTTTTGGGTTGAAACTCAAGTTACCAACAGCATTATAGATCCTGCTGGTTTCCAGTTTTCTGTGTTCTCCGAAGTCACTCTGGGTCAGAGCCCGTTGCTGATGTGGAAAGCAGCATCTACAGCAGGTCAGTAAGAGAGAACTGTAAAACTTCCCATACCAGATTCTTCCCCAAGTGTGTTTTGATTTCCCCCATAGCCAAGTTTTTTGTGGGCTGAACTCTGGACTCAGACAGGGGCTGAGGGGGATCTTTGTTACATCCATCCCATGATGAGTCCTTACAGCTGAGCATCCATCTGGGGTCAGGAAGTCTTTATTGATGTCTTTCTAACCAACAGAACCAGGATTAAACATCTAAAATGTTTTCAGTCCAGTTTCACACTTTCTGAAATCTGAACAACTTCATTGTTAGCACTATGAACCACCAATCATTTGGGTTTTTTTCCCCCAAGCCTTTTCTAAGAGACACAAATGGTTGGCTGGGTTTTGCAAGGAAAATTCACTGAAAATAACGTGGGCTATAAAATCCTTTGTGTGTGGGTTTTAAATAATCTTTAGATCTGCTTCATTTCAGAGGTAAGGAGTTGCATTCTAAGAAATCATCATTTTTTCCCTCTGTGATCCATCTCTCTTTGTTTCCCACACTGTTCTAACATTGCTAAGATAATGGTCTGTAATGCTTTTCCTAGAAATTCTGCTGTTACCGACTCGGATAATGGAGGGACGTGGATGAAAGCAGCTCTTCCCTTGCCATAATACAGAGAAGTGTAGTAGGTGTAATCACAGATGTACCTGCAATATTAAGAACAAAACAAAACCAGAAACCTGAATTAAGGCTCAGTAAACCTTGATTAAATTTAAATATTCTAAGTAGCCAAACCAGATCTGGTTTATGAAATTATTAAGAACATATTTGCTTAGTGAATAAAGGAAATGCTGGAATAAAGCAAGTTTGAGAAACAAATGTTGCTTATCTGATGGTTTGATTTCTCAGACACCCACCCACAAATAAGTAAAAAAAATATCACAAGGCAGGCATTCTTGTGGAGTGGGAAAAGTAACACACCCTGCTGGAAATTACAACCATGTAACACAGTTTTTGTCTAAGTCATAAAATCTCCCTGTCTAAAGAGGTTTTTCTAATCATTCTACCTTTTAAAATTCAGGTGAAAATCTTGAATTTGGGGGCCAATATTATCTGATTTTTTTTTTTTAGTAAAATAAAAATTACTGGTTTGTTTGCCTTTCCAATGAAGACTAGCATAGTAGAAAATTGCTTCAGTGCTACTGGAATACATAATGAGATCACAGGCCTGGTTCTAACAGTACTTGTAATTGATGTTCTTCAGTGTATCTATTTACATTTTGTATCCCTCCCAGTTGAGAAAAACAGATTAAAATCTGCTACTAGTCTGTATTGCTTTCAGACTCTCTTAATAGCTGAGGTTTACTGGAGTTGCTAATCACAGGGTGTGCTATGTTGGAACTTGTTTCTTTTGGAATTTATAAATCTATGGAAAAATATCTACTGCCTGTAGCTTGTCATGGAGGCTGCTTTACAGAAAATTTAAAATCATCCCAGTTTCATATTTGTGCCTCTCTGAAGATTTTGCTTCTGAGTGATTTTGGTTGGAGGAGAGCTCATGGCAAAGATTCTCCAGGGTTAAATGAGCTGATTGAGTTGTTTTCGTGAGGCCCTGACACATGACATTTACCTTCCTGCATCTCTGGAAAGGATGATATCAATCCCTTCCACTGAGATGTTCTTCCAGAGAGTCTTCATGTTAATTGTAGATTCAATCTTTTCTGGGCCATCCAGCACGCAGCAGGCACCTTCTGGGTGAAAACCATAAGCATCCCTCTCCCGGTAGCCTTTGTTCTTCCCACACTGCTCCAGGATGATGAGGGCTGTGGTGGACGAAGCCAGCCCAACGTGAACTGTAAGCTGGTTTTTCCCACCAGAGCGAATAATAGGAAATCAGAAATGAGACCTGCTTTTTAAAAACATGTGATGCAAAAGTGCCAAGCATTATATGAATTACTGGCTTCAAGGTGGGGAGCCTTGCTCATGTCTAAAGAAAACTTTGATAAGGTATTATAAATAAAAACCAAATTAGGCTGTAGTTTTTGTTGTGTCTAGTCAGGACTGCAGAGCAGCAGTACTTGTTTTGCAGTTTATGGTAGATATTTTCTTTTCCTTTGTTCAGCATCAGTTATGCTGTTTAACTGGCACGGGGTTAAACCAGCATGCTGATTAGTGTGTGCTCCGAATTTCAGCATGGAACCTTGATCACAGTTTCGATAGTCACTTTCCAGAGTTGTTTGATGTTTTGCAATACTCTCTTGGAGAATTTTTCTTTGTATTCAGGGGAGGGGAAGAAATTGTTTAACTTCATCATTACCCACCAGTGGCTGAAGAGTTGTCCATATCTTGCAGACTTGCTCCTTTGCTTTTTGGTAAACCACTGGCAGCTGCATGATCCGGAGATTGATGTTTTCACCAAGACCTCTCTTGGACAGCTCCTGTGTTTACAAAAAAGCCATTGAGGACTTGAAGGAGTGTGGAGGGCGAGGACTCAGCAAAGGAGCATTGAATTTCTGACCGTGATAAACTGGGCTGATTCAACTGAGAAAACACCTGAAAGAGCTACACCTTAGCCCATGGTTTCTGAATGAGATTTGTTTTATTGTTGCTGCCTCTCTTTTAACTGTAAGAGGCTAAAGTGTGCTAAACAATTTCCTAATGTCACATCCGTCCATGTGGAGCCATTGTGGTCTTTTCCAAGGAGATGCTCAGTCTTCAGTGGGTGGGAGGGATTATTGCCCTGGGGAGCCATGAGACAGTGTCTCTCAGAAAAGCTCCACCCTTGAAAGCATCTAAATAGGCTTTGCTGTAGGTAAGAGCTGGTAGAAAAACTGCACTGCCAAGAGACAAAACCAAGGAGAATTCACCTTAAGCATGACTTTTTCACTCCAGGGTCACAAGATCTGCTGGCTTGACCAGGTTCAGGTAAGCTGTGCTGAAGGTCACTGTCAACACGAGGAAGTCACATTTAGAATGAGTTTAATTTGTTTTTCGGTCTAGAATGTTTCTCTAGTAAAAGGAAATGTCACTGAGATGTTACTTCTCTGTTAATTATGTACAGTTGAATCTCCACACAGGACCAAATTTCCCGTAGAAATAATTATGCCCAGAATTCAGGTGAATGGAACAAAGGCACCCTTCAAAGCAGCAGGTTGGCCAGGTGGTTAGAAGATGGTCTGGAGAATAAATGTCACATGGAAGTGACTTGAAAGGATTTTGTCAGTGGAACAGGGCTAACAAACCAGGCCTAGGCCTCAGCAGAAGGTAAGCAGCTGCAGTGGCAGGATGCAGAAGGAATTCATCTGAGGTGGGAAGCTTTGTCCCAGAAAATAGAATGGTGGTTGAAAATCCCTGTTCCACTACCAAAGGAGGGCACAGGTTAAGTTTTTAAGGGGGCACAGGCAAAAGTGTAGGTGTCTGATTAGCCCAGGAGACCTGTAACTGTATTCAGTGTCATTGTCTTCTCAGGTTTTTGTTTCTCACTCAGGATACCCATGCGGAGAGGCCCACAGTTCTGGGAAATTTGCCCTTCAACACTCGCTTCCTATATAAACTGTTCCAATTTTCTTGTCAGCGGAAGCATTGATTAGCTGTGCTCAATAAACTATTTGACACAAGCAAGGAAACAATGCCTGCAGGGAAGTAAACACATTTGGAGAACAGTGCCAGCCTTTTTTCCTGTGGGCGCTGACAGTCTTTGAGAGCCCATTGCATCATCTCGCTGAAGAATGCTGTACTGTGCCTGAGCCTCCACAAAAGAAAACCCCAGCTGGTTCACAATTAGCATTTTCTTTTCCAAAGCATTTAAAGTTTTACACTTAATGAGAGTCTTTCTCTTAAACTATAAGGCTTAGAGGACTTGGCTATCCCAAACTTTGGTGCAGAACATAGAGACCCAAAACCAGCTGTAATGCTGTTCTCCTCTCGTGCTCTCTGGGTTGAGGCATTCTGTTGTCACCAGCTGTCACGGCAGAAACACACAGAAATACTTTTGTGCAGGACCAAACTGAAGCTGGCCAATAGCAAATGGCTGAGGATTTGTGTCAAAGGAAGATGGTTCTCTATGTCCTAAGCAATTTCAGCGTGTTGTCAATAATGTGTATTACTGTGTTGTCTAACAATCCCAGCCATGGGCTTACACCCCATTAGACCAGATGTGTAAACATGGAGCAAAATAAAAAAAAGGCTGTTCCTTGTCTCAGACTTAACCAGAACCAATTTTGCATTTAAGGTGGGAGACTGAAGATGGTTAGAGGAGGGTGACTGCACCTGGAAACCAGAGCGCACACTGGTGAGTGAATTCAGTAAACAGGTGCCTGTTTTTTGTAGTTGAAACAGGAAAGGAAATTTCAAAGGAGGAGAAAAATTTTGGAGGACTGTTTTGTGGGAAAAGTGATTCAAAAGAAAACATGAAAATTCTTTCTTTGGGAAGTTCTAGAAAGGAGAAGAAATCCAGCATTTATCACTGCTGACCTTGAGCTGTTGTGAGTTGTGGTCATAGTTCAGGTCCACTGGTGTTCTGGTCCAAAGAGAAGTGATTTGCACAGCACTGTGCTCAGGTTGGAAACTGTGTGTTGGAAATAGCTTGAACTTCTAGAAAACGCTGGAAAACATTACTGATTTTGCCTGAGTTTTCACTGTTTGGGTTGCTGGGAAGGTGGTTGCATGTGTTAATTTTGTGAACTGCTTGTGCTGGTGCAGAAAGGAAACCAGAAGGTTTCAATTGGCCCAGCCAGACTGCAAGTGCATTGCAAACAAAGTGTTTTGTGTGGCTGGTTAGTGGGGTTTTGTTTATGTGTTTAGTTTGGGTTTTTGGTTGTTTTAAGTTGTTGGGGTTTTTTTCTAATCCTGTAGATAACCTTCTTAAAATTTCAGGGATGTAAGAAAGTTCCAACACAGAAATTAAGGCACTAAATAGCAATGTCTTAGTTTCACAGATGATGAAACTAAAGCAGAGAGGGAGAGAGATTAAATGACAGATTTCCAAAGATCACATGGTCAGTGGCAGGATGAAAAATGTGCTGGGAGATCTGATCCTCAACTCCTGATAGCAGACATAGTTCCCAGAAGCAGTTGGAAATGTGACCTGTTCTTTGCACTAACAGTTTAATTACTATGAATGTTGTCACTCAACTTATATTTGTGCCCTATTAACTGGGGACTCTGACCTTGATGGTAGAGTGCCCTGATAGGTCATTTTACTGCCAAGCTGCAGACAGGACTTTCTGGAGGAGACACAGAAACAGGGTTGGACCAAGGGTTATTAGGTGGGACCATTAATCTGTAGCATGGAATAAATAAATCAGGGGATCTGGGATTCTCAAGGTCCCATGTGGTGCTGCAGCACTAACACATTGTGGTAACTCTTTGATTTGTCAAAAAATGCAGAATAAATACCTGGTGGTGTTTTCCTTTAGTGAGAATGTCCTGCACTTCCAGAGTTAAAAGTGTTGCTGGCAGAGCTTTCGTGCATATTTTAGGAGGGTATTTCAGGTGAATGAAGTTATGAGAACCATGAAAAACTCAGTGAGACAGGTTTCTAAAAGATAAACTGTCTTTCTAGTGCTAGACAACCATGCTGGGCCAGGTGATGGTGCTGTAAGAGTGCTGAAGCTTTTCTCCATGTCCTTGAATTGACAGGTTTGTCTGTGCTTTTGGGTCCATTTGATCCCCTTTTCCCTGAACACTCGAGGGGTGAACTCCATGGATGAAGAATGCAATGCTGATGAATGCCATGTGTGGTAGTCTCTGTCATGAGAACTTAGATCCATGCAAAAACAATGGGGTATTCCTCAAGTTTTTTGAAAATTACATCTTCATATTCTTGAAGAGGAAATTCAGGATAAATACCCTTTTTAAACCAGTAGATATAGAGATTTGTAGAGTTTTACTCACATTTATCATTGGATTCCTGAGAACTTCAAGGGAAATCGGCTTATTCACCAAAAAGGCAGTAGTAGTACATAGTTAATTTGTAGGAGAAATAATATTTTTCTGCGTGCCCAATGAGGACATAGAAGGGATGTTGCTATTGGAATGGGCTGTGCTCATTGGATCAATCTCTGATCCTCTCTACAGCAAGAAAAGAGGTTCAGGGGCACAGCTGATCCCATCAGCAGCATCTTGTGGAGGAGCTTAAGGAAGCAGTTGTGAGTTTAGAGCAAGTATTGCTCACAGAAGGGCAGCCATGGTTCTTTGGCCAAGGATCCATTTCAAGAGCATGGAGAGTGAGGCTATGCTTTGGAATTAGGACACTGCAACTGTTAAATGTATTTTTACAGGATTTCAGATGCTTTTGGTATGAGGACCCTTCTGGGATGTGAACTTCTAAGACTGTGTGTATCAGCATTACATCATCACTGAGGGGCTATCCAGGCTTTTGATAAGCACCTACTTCGTTTTGGGGTGATAATTAGGATAGTTTTGGGTAATGCTACAAAGGCATTAAGCCTGACCAGTGATATTTAGTATGTCTGTTCTGGCTGCTCAGCGTGTTCCTGAGGCTGAATGTGAGTGCACACTTGCATGGTTCACAGCAAAGAGACTTGGCAGGAGGCTTTATGTCACTCCAGTGATCTATGCAGGTACCCCAAGCCAAGCCAGGATTACTTCCAGATGTAAATACTAAATTTTGCTATCTTTAATACATGTGCATAAGCTTCCTGAAGATCACAGGGTTACTCCTATGAATGAGGCCAATGGAACAATACTGTGAGATTGCTATTTAGAGTGGAGAAGCCTATCAAAATTCAAAGTACTTCCAGATTTGGAGCAAATTTCTCTGAATTAATCACCTTTGCCGGGGAGTAGGAAACCAAAGCATCATCTCCAGTCTGAATACAAATTAATTTCACATAGAGGGTGCCACATCAGAGGGAAATGGATTTGTTCTCCTCCATACACAAGGACTGACATCTGTTTTGCTGTGGAATGCGAGGCCCTTGTTACTTAACTCCCAGGCATAGCCAGCTCATGGCATTGTTACAGAAAACTCATCCCGTCGGTGTGTTCTTGCTCGAGGCTGTTTTGCTTGCAGATAAAGAACATGCTCTATTTTCAGCCAGAAGAGGATGATCTTGCACCCAAAATTAGAACCAATAGGAATCAGGAAATAATGAGCAAGAACACTGTCAGCTGACAAATATTTGTGGTTTAGGGTACATGTTGAGTTGGAGTTAAGATAATTTATGGGTCTCCTGTCATGACTGGGGTGTGGAAAGGTATCACAGAAATATTTTTGTTTCTTTTTAGCCTACAGGGATAACATCCCTCATGACTTGGAAGGGACAATAGATTTATTCTACCAAACACCAAGCTGCACTCAGCATTCTTCACTCAGCAAAGCTAGAATAGAAAAGATGTGTGTTTTGGTGGAATTGCTATTGCTTTGGTCTTTGGGAAAACATACTGGCTCCTTGTTTTTCAATCATCTTAACTTGAGTGCACTTCACTTTCAAAACAGATACTCAGTAGCTGTCACCAAAATTTGAGCTATGATTATAGTCCTGTAGAGCCATCACCTTTCTGTCATTACTAATGCTTTGCTATAGCTGACTTTCTCATTTCAGTGTCCAAAAGCATTAAAAAATGTATGGACTTGTTTCAGTCTTCATAATAGAACACAGTCCCCTTGGTTTGTTTTACATGTCCTACTTTCCATTTTACCAGTATTATCCATCATTTCTTGTATATTTTGGACCAATGCTCCAATTTAATTTTACTACTTTGACTGTTCCCCACTTGTTTCAGATTTCATTGTGTACCCTTCTTTCTACCTTGGGATTGCTAAAAACTTACGTGGAAGATCCTCTCACAATAACTCTGTTCATTGGTACCTTATGAGAATAACTGAACGCCAGGAAAGGCTCTTGTCTGTGACGGGGAGAATGGATCAGTTGATGCTGAAAGCCAGGTATCCAATCATGCCTTTGTATCCTCCAGCTAAATTTGTTCTACTACACAGATTCAGGAAACAAGCAGGAAGTTTCAAGACTGCATCTGAGACTTGTTACTGCTAGTCAAGGTGTATGGAGGAAAAAACTCCTCTGAATGACCTTGTTTTCAATTTAACTGTAGACTTCACTGTCATTTGAAAGTGGAAGCCAAAGCTGAAATGTGAACTCACACTTAGAGCTGGCACAGTTTAAGTTCTGTGTTCCTGAAGCAGGCAGTGAGATCTCAATAGGCTACACTTGTATGAGAAGGAAATCACCTCACACAGACGGGATAAAATGATGGTTCACTGAAGGCAGACATAACCTGTGGCACATGCAATAGTTGTAGAGAAGGCACCATGAGTAAAAATAAATTTTTAAAATAAATAATAATATTTTAAAGTGCTTAAACAGCACCAAAAATAAATCAAGTAAAATAATATTTCACTTCATTATCCTCTTTGTTCTATGTTGGGTGTCTGCTCCATGAGGCTCAATTCTGTTTAATGAGTCATGAAAAGGGAATGGAAAGCCTAAAACCAGTTTGTGTTGGGATGTCTAAGAAATAAAACACCTCCCTTCTTCCCTTCTTTTTTTTTTTTTTTTTTTTTATGCCTACCTTCACTGCTTCCCAGCTGGAATTAACCAGGTATTGTCTGAAGGGACCAAAACCTGAAAAGAAAGAAAGGTGGTTTTAACCTGTGCTTACTCTACAATTGCAGATTAGGTGCTGATGTGTGCACACACATATTTGATCTTTATCTTTCTATTTTTGGTTTTGGAGGTTGAGTTTTTTAAATAGGATTTAGCTTTTATAACACTTAAGGGAATAGTATTTTCAATTTGTATATTCACTGATAAAAGAACTAATCCTGCAATCTTCATTCATGTCAAGGCTTTCTTATGAGAGAGCCTTAACTGGAGCTGGTTAAATGTACCTCCAGTAGGACAGATCATGTAAGTGCTGATTTTGGGGAAGGGTCAGCATCCATAGAAATACCAGTGCTAAAAGTTATGGTACTAAATACTCCCGGGTCACAGTCAATGTATCATTCTTATTGTTAAAGCTTATGAAGATGAAGATATGCGTATTTAATGGAAATGTTTGAATGAGTCAAATTTATTTAATCTGTGATTTATTTTAATTGCAAGTAATGAAAACTTACAGTTTTGTATCCGGGAAAATGTGCTTCTTTTGTGATGCTGGGAAAAATGTCTTCACTTTTCCCCCCAGGAAAAGAGAGGAGAAAAGGGAAAGAACACTTTGACTCCGGAGTACTACATTCAATTTTATGCATTCTTTTTTTGGTGAAATGATTTTTTTTTTTTTAATAAAAAGGGGAAAGACTTAATTTTGAGCAGATGGGCATTTTGTCATTAAAAAGTTTGATGGAAAACTCCCACTATCTTTATTAATCTCAATTAATGTTCTCAATCCAGAGTGTTGCCAAGTCCTAGATACTGGGTGTCAGGAAAATGAGTTTGTGAAATGGTTTTAATGCTATAATTCTTAAATATTTAAAATCCTTAAATGGACAAGTAAATACTTGACAGCACATGATTGCCATTTTGCACAGTGAAAGCTACTTGTATGTGGAGACAATTAAGCCTAAATGCAAGCTTGTGACAGCTTAATTAGTGCTAGACTGTAAGTGTTTCTTAATTTGTTAGTATTTATTTCATAATGGCTCCATCTTTTCTTTTTAATGTTATGAAAAGCTTATATTTTTTACAATATTTTCTCCAGGTTTGAGTTTCTCCTATAGGGAGGGAACAAAGAAAATGGTGCTCATTGCGTATTTCCAGGAAACACAAAACCTCATTAATCCGACTGCTTTGAGAACAAAATTTGGGTGGTACCTGCTCCATTTTGGAGCTGTAGTCGTATAAGTTTCTGTGCCTGTGTGTGCAGAAATTCAGAATTATAATAAAGTTATTAGGTAGCTCACAATGAAACACTTGTGTTAGTGGTGGCCCTAAGAAACTACTGCTTAGGATAAAATTGCTATGAAAAATAACTAAATGTACGAGTGTTTTACTGCAATACCTACAGCAATGTGGAGAGGTAACTGGCTGAATGTTGCTGGGCTCCATGAAATAAACTGGGCTCCCTGCCAGCAGGTTTGTATTCTGAGCAGGTCAAAATGTGACCGAGACATGCTGTGATAATCTCTGTAGTAGATTAAAGATGCACGTGTGTCATAACTAGTCTAAAGCTTTTTGACCAAGGAGATTTCTGGACATAAATGGTGATCTAAAGGGAGGAAAAAACAAACAGGGCACTAAGAAGTGCTCCCAACAAGGATATGTGCCATAAATATCATAGGAGAGAACCAGACTGTCAGCTTTTTAGGAGGTTAGCAAATACCTCCTGCCCTCTCCTGCACTCCTATCCAGCTCATCTGCAGTTACAGCTGGAGCAAGCCAGACTAGTTCTGCCCATCTTGCAGCTATTAAAAAAAAAAAAAAAAAGTGTTTAATTGAAAACAGCAAGATGCAAATCTCTTTGATGTAGCTTCACCCTCGTCCCTGTATCCTCAGATGACCTGCAGTGGAAAATTATCCAGCAACTCACATGTCAAGATATGTGTAATGATTGCCCTTAGATGAGCCAGTGGCAACAAGAGGAACAGCAAGCAGCAGCATTCCTTAGGAGCTTTAACCTTTTAAAGCTCAGCACTCTCTGAGCTGCTGGTTCTGCCTCTGTGATGCTGCACTAGTTGGAGCCAACAAGAGAAACTCCAAATTTGGTCCCCTTGTGCTGCATGTTCAGGCATGTTCCTTTGGTATATTTAAATGGAATGGTTTAGTTTAGCAGTGATGAGGCAGCATCTCCTGTTTAAAACTCCCTTACCTTGCCATGAAACTGAGCCCCTGAAAGTTGCCATGTGCTGCTCTAATTCTGGACACTGACTGTATGACATTGTGATGCAACCTGGTTTTCTTGCTTCAGAGCTTCTTTTGGGTAAGCTTTATCTAATAGTAGCCTGCACTGCCTTGAGCTATGTGGTTTGGATCAGAGAGAATGTCAACAAAGATTAAAACATGGAGAGAATGAACAACAAACCAAACTGGATGGCAGTCAGGAGGGCAGACTGCAGTCTGTTTCCTCTGACATGCATCTGATATTTCTTAGGAAGGCACAGCAAGTTCTTTTCCATTTGGAAATGTTAGTATGACCATTTGCTACTCTTTTTCCCCCTAGGAAACTGTTTATGACAAAGATCAAGCATGCGTGCATACCATCTCTGGCTCAAAGAATGAAATACAAATCTTACCAGTCACCACCACAGTGTTGGAATTTGAATCCATGATATCCATGCTCCAGAAGGTGGAATCTTCTTGTCTTTCAGTTCCAAACAGTATTATAATTCAGGTATCTGTGGCAAACTTCATTTGGGGCACCTTTTTTCTTCCAACTGTGATGAGTCTGGCTTCACATGACAGGGATGATTTGTGACTCATGTAACTTTTAAAGCAGAAATGATTATGTCTCTATTAAAGATAGAAGTCTGACTGACTGGCTGACTGGGACTGCCCCAAACTCTTTCCATTCCTAGGCATAGAGTATCTAGGAAGAAGAGGAAAAGCTTAAAGAAATTTCTTGCAAAATATCCAGCAATATTTTTCATCATTTGTTTATGTGCAAGTAAACAGAAAATTAATTGAATCAGTTTGATTATATCTCTGTGGGTATTCTGTTTTTAGCAGTTGTAACTCAATTTAATGATGAGGAATGACAACTACAAAAACTTATCTGTCCATTTCCACTCTTCTTGGACTTTTTCTTACCAGCTTAAGCTCAGGGGTAACTTTGCTGTTCCTCTTCACAGCACTTATCTGATTTACTACTCTTGATCTTTATCTCAGGCTTGTTATGAAAGAGTCCAAGCAGTGTACACTTTTCAAACCAAACACCAACAGGAAAATGTGTGTATTTGCTAACCCAAAACATTTACTTGGTAATACCCTTTAGCAGGCAACATGTTAGAAAATCTCACTCCAACTTGCAAGGTCAGAGGAACTCTAGAAGCTGGGTTATAGCCTGCTGAAACTGGTGAGTTTAATAGCTGGTCTGTCTTCATTAAAGTGGAGCCTGAGAGCCAATGGGGAGGGCCTGAAATCAAAACATATGCACATTGTCACTGCCCAAAACAAAAGCATATGCAAGTTCTCTTGGGAATTATAACTATGTGGGCAGAGGGTTTCACTGGGTCTTGTTTTGAGTAGGAAGTGTGTGTGTGTGTGTGTGTGTGTGTGTGTGTGAGAGAGAGAGAGAGGGAGGGGAGAAATAAGCTAAGAATAGAAAGCCACTATATTATCTCAAGAGAGTTGCTAATTGTGAGACCTTAGGGGGAAAAAAAAAAAAAAAAAAGAAAAATCTCTGAAGAAATCCCTTGGGTTGGGTGGTGGCTGAATGAGGTTTGGAGCGATGACCTGTGTCTCTCATTTAAATTGTCCCGTGCTGAGACACAGAAAGATGTCTGGGCTCTCTTTATTTAAAAGACCACCATCCATTTATTTAAAATACTACTAATCCACTTATTCCATCATCCATTTCTTCCCCTAACACAACTTGCAGAATTAACTTTTGCTGGCTGCTGGGGCTGAAGGAGCTTCTAATAGAGGAAACAGCTTTAAATAAGGTAGAATCTGCCATTGGCAGCACTGAATTACTTTTAAAATCCTACAGTCCTTCATACTCTTATGTCAAAGATTTTTATCCATTAATTTTTATGCTTGACCAGTCATTAAAACACTTCCTGTGATTCTGAACAGGGCAGTGACATACCAGTCTTCTCATAGTTTTGATTTATGCTGGGTTTTTTAGGAAAAAATCTAAGTACAGGGTGGTCTAATGAACAAAGAATTTGTAAGGAATAAGGCAAGATTTAAAGTCTTAATTAATTTCCAGAGTGAGAATGTCTATTTTCTTTGGGACATGAGAGCTGCTTTATACACATATATATGAAGGGTATTGCTTGAATGCTGTAAAATATTAGGTATTTCATGAGATATTCTTCCAGAGGGGAGATGTAAGTCTATTAGTTCCATGCACTCTGAAACAACTGATATGATCTTTTTGGAATGTAGTACTAATTATTAAAGTTTTTACAGCTGGCAAAAGGGAGTAGAAAAAAATACAGAGTAGCAAAGATTAATTCACTAAGTCTTTATGAAGAAGCTAGTAGAAATTTGTAGGGGGGGAGAAGTATTGTCTTGAAAAGTTATTCCCTTTTCTTAAGGAGATGTTTGTTGAATTGGAAGTAAAGGTTCTGAGACCTGATTCTGATTCAGTGTTGGTAAATGCTTGTGCAAGTGTGAGAGGAATGCTAGTGGTTGAAATAAACCAGAATTTGACAGAGACCACTGAAATTAATTTTTGCACTGATTTATTTGGTTGCTCATGTTCCCAAGCTTTGTGTGCATGGCAGTATACTTGGAATAATAATACATTTATTGCAGCTGTGCCACACAGTTAAAAAATAATTGAAAGATTTGAATTGAGCCTTACTCAGAAATTATTCAGAAATGAAATTAAACCTTCTCTTTCCTAACATTTCTTCAGTTGAAGCAGAAGCCGCTCTTGAAGTTTTTGTTAAAATATGATTGTAGCTTTAATATTAGCACTCCCATGGGTATCTGTGCCCAAAACAATGGATTTGAGGGTCGCTGGATATTTGAGGTCTGTGCAAATTAATCTCCCCATCCATAATTAAGAACCCAAGCCCTTGCTATTTGAAGGCAAGTCACAGACACAGACACAGACACAGCTGACTCAGCTAAACACTAGTTATTTTTTTTCTTGCTACACACGGATGTGATTGGCACAGCACTCATCTTGAGGTACAGAAAAATGGAGGCAACTCAACTATGAAAATCCTGGTTATCACCTTGAATATTTTTCTGCACATTTGTCTGATACGTTCAAAAATTGTTTGAACTGCTGCTGAGTAACAGAAAAATAAATTTTCTCCAAATGCATTCTGACCACACCGCAGAGCTGGCAGCACACTGCTTGAGTAGCTTTTTAGTAGATGGCAAGAAGAACAGAATATGGCCTTTCATTTAGAAACTGCTCTTTAATTTTTATCTCTTTTATTATTACTTACATATATTTATTTTATTTCTTGTTATTGGCAGCCACTGACCAATGTTTTAAACTGTGAAGTGGACTGTAATATATTCCAATTTTTATCTCAGCTGTTCAACACTTAATTGAGAGGAGGGAGAAATCAAGCTGTTATGCTATTTAACTCTAAACTATAATGGGACTTTAAATAGAAATTTCAGGATTTAAAACTGCGTATTTCTCTTCCATTCTAATAAAAATAAATGGTCCTCAGGAAAGACTGAAGCTGGTTTTTATGTAGATAGAAAGCGATGTGACAAAAAGAGAGGATACAAACATTTCAGTGTAAAGCTCACTGTTCCCTGTGGAATGAGGCCTCTTCTACAACAAAATCCATGGAAATGGTAAATTGAAAAATATAATGGTAGTTTCACTCAGGGTTTTTTTTTAGCAGAGACACCTTACAGTATCCCAGGTTGCTCCAAACCCCGTCCAACCTGGCCCTGAACACTTCCAAGAATGGGGCAGACACAGCTTCCCTGGGCAAGCTGTGCCAGGGTCTGGTTTTGGATAGGAATTGTCATGTGTTTTGTGCTGTTTGATTATTTATTTTCATTCTTCAGCAATTGAATCCATTGGTATATACCTATTTTTATGGGGAAAATTGCAACTGAATATGAGTTGAATATAGACAAGCTGCTGAGTGGCTGTTACAGTATCAGTTCTGGTCTTCTTGCAGTGTTATCAAAACTAATCGCTGTGTATGGACAGGTTTTTAATTTAATTTTTTGTTTATAATGGGGAAAAAGGAATTAGCAGGGCACATGCAATCCATGATCAACAGGTTGCTTTTTTCAGATGTCATTTACCAGCACAAAGAGACTCTGCAAGCAGGATACACACAATTTAATTAACTGTTTATCAGCTAATATGTAAAATAGGTACAACTAACATATTGCTGAGCTAAACAGTAACATCCTTACCTCTGCTGATAAGAAAATGGATGAGTTTTAGCTGGCCAGGAAGTTTCTAATAGGCTGGAGAAAGTCTCTGGTATTTATTGGTGTGGGCTGATCTTCACCATTAGAGTTATCATCATGTTTTGTGGTTGATAATTTTGTTTTTGGTTTTTTTCCCCTTCTTTTTTATCTTTTCTCTTGAATCTTTTACCAGCTATTGTCAGCCCACCAACAGCACTTGCGTGGTTTCAGCTTCCTGTCTTTCCTGCTGTATCAAACGAGACCTTGGACCAGGTTTAGCCCAGGACCAAATCTCTGGGCTGTGGGTGACATGGGGAGAGCTGGAATGTACAAAGCTTCCAGAGATCACGAGCATGTGCTGAAATCCACTGATGGTCTCTAAGGTGTGGTGATGCGACATCTGCTCTTTGGAGCATCACTGTATGGGCTAAAACTTTGTCCTGTACAGGGAAAAAAAAAAAGAAAAATCAAATTTATAGTGTGTTTTAAAGCATTTCAAAGGAGGACCAACGCTAAGGGGTTTTTTAGTTGTTGTGCTGAGAGGCAATGGAGTCCCTGTTGAGTCGGGTCTCCAGCCACAGCCGCATACCTGGGAGCTCGAAGTGCAAAGATGAGTTTATTTCTTTGCAAACGTACTGTTATTTCCATGTATCTTAGACATCTATGACTCTGATACTTGTATCTGTTATTTTAAATATAATTGAGTGACCCTACTATGGGGGTATTAAGGCTGCCCTGAATCCCACCCGTTAAAATTTTACTTTAAATTTTGACAACTGTGTATTGGTTTTAGCCCCTGTACCTCAGTTTTATGGTTTGTGGTAATGAACGGCAGGCAGCTGCCTAGCTTTTCCAAAAGCCTCTTTCAGATTAACAGTGGTCACTGCAGAATGCTATAAAAATGTTACTTTTGTACATACTTTCCCCTCGTAAACCTTCTGCCTCACGCCACGCCGCGTTAACACAAACTGGCGCTAGGTTTATGGTTTGTCGTTCTGTGCCTTTTAAAGGAATAACTTGAAATTTTTGACGGGAGTTTCGTGAGTTCAGATGCGGTGTGGGCATCTGAACTCACAAAGGCAGTGCCTGGATAGCGGGGGCTGAGGACATTCCCGGGAGCTGAGGGCATTCCTGGGGGCTGAGGGCATTCCCGGGGCCCGAGGGCATTCCCGGGGCCCGAGGGCATTCCCGGAGCCCGAGGGCATTCCCGGAGGCTGAGGGCATTCCCGGAGCCCGAGGGCATTGCCGGGGGCTGAGGGCATTGCCGGGGGCTGAGGGCATTCCCGGGGGCTGAGGGCATTGCCGAAGGCTGAGGGAATTCCCGGAGCCTGAGGGCATTCCCGGAGCCTGAGGGCATTCCCGGAGCCCGAGGGCATTCCCGGGGCCCGAGGGCATTCCAGGGGGCTGAGGGCATTCCAGGGGGCTGAGGGCATTCCCGGGGCCCGAGGGCATTCCCGGGGGCCCGAGGGCATTGCCGGGGGCTGAGGGCATTGCCGGGGGCCGAGGGAATTCCCGGGGGCTGAGGGCATTCCCGGGGGCTGGAGGGCATTGCCGGGGGCTGAGGGCATTCCCGGGGGCTGAGGGCATTCCCGGGGCCCGAGGGCATTCCCGGAGCCTGAGGGCATTCCCGGAGCCCACAGCCAGTCTCGCCAGCCTCCCCTCGCCTCTCCGGGCCGGGCCCCCGCTGCTCGCCGCCTTCCGCCGCCCTCTGCCCCCTCAGCGCCATCCCGCCCTCAGGGCTGCCCGCGCCGCCCCGCAGGAAGTGATGGCGGCCGAGGGAGGAGGAAGAGCCGCCGCGGGTAAGAGGGAGGAGGCGGCTCGGGGAGACCGAGACGCCGCGAAACACTCGGGGCTTTCCAGGGAACCTCTGCCCGCGGCCGTGCCCCACCGTGAGGGGCCGGTCCCTCACGGCCGCGCTCCAGGCAGCGCCTGGGGCAGCGGGCGGCCCGAGCCCTGCGCGCAGGGTCGCCCAGAGCAGCGTTTCTTTTCCCATTTTCCTGCGTCCAGGTGACTTTTCCAGGTGTTCGGCTAGTCCAGGCCTGCCCAGAGAGGGTCCTGCCCGCTGTGGTTCGGCAGGTGATGCTGGGGAGAGGGTGATCCCCGACCTCCTGTTTGCAGTGTGTGTTCGGGGTTTCAGAAGGACTTCGGTAGATCTCAAGTACTCAGCCATTAAGGAGCGCTGGGAACACTGCATAAAAATCCCATTTTCAAAGGCACCATCGGCAGTTGTTTACCCAAACTTAGCAAAACCCAGGTTTAACAAAAGCAGCAGGGTTTAACAGGGACAAAGGAGCCGTAAACACGTTGGTTCTTGACCACACAAAAATAGTTGGACTTCTTTGGTGTTTGTATACTGCAGAGTAGCGTGCAAAGTATAGTATACAAATATATTGCTCTATACATATACTATATAGTACCCTTCTTTTTAAAAGTACTCATTAAAGCTTTTCTTTGCTATTGATGAGGTGAGTAGAACAAGAAGCACGTGGATATGGAGGATGAACTTCCATGTGAAAAAGCCACTCTCCCCTGTCTCCTTTCAGCAGGAGTTGATTTGCTGGTGTTTCTGGCAGTGGGTGAAGAGCTGCTCTGCCCAGCAGAACTCAGCCCTTCAGTACCTGGTGGAGTTACAGTGCTTTGAAAAGAACAGACATCGTGTCAGTTCCCAAATGTCCAAGGGACGTGATTTTAGCATAGGTGGATCTTTTGCACATGCACCACCATGGATTTCCAGAGGAGTCTGGCATGTGCAGTGTTCTGGGTTTGTGTTTGGCTAGGAGGACTTCCAACAATCTCTGTTCACGCACTTGTTTGGATAAGAGCCCGTTGCATCACCTCAGTTAGCTTTTGCACTGCTTTCCCTCCTGCTCTGTTTTTATACTCTTCTTTCTTAATTTGTCACGCTAGCAGGTAAATGGAGAAAAAGTGAATTTATCTTCTGAAACACATTTTAAGTTGCTGCCATTTATCTAAAGCACCTACTTCATCCCCTTCAGTAAAATAATGATGTTGTTCATTAGTTCCTCTAGCTGCTCGTGGCTAAATGCACTGCAGTCAGATTGCTCTATTTTTCCCCTCCTATCAACCACTTATGGAAGTCAAACATTTGTAATAATGCTATTTTTTGGGGACAGTGAGGAAAGACTCTCAGTTCTACTGATTTTCTTGAATAAAATATCTCTAGATGAATAGAACTTGGGTTTTCATGTCCAAGGAAGTGTTGTAGTGTTGGGCAGTTTGATTAATGTTTAGATTTTTCCCTTTTTCATCACCCTCAGGTTGAATTTTTAGAATAGTTGTTCTTCCATCCCCTTCCTCTTTTAGGACAGCTGGTGTTTTTAGGTGTTGTCTGAGTTTTGGTGTAGTTATGTAATTGCATAAGTCTGCATTTAAAATAATTATGGAGCAGTTGTCAATAAGCGAGTTGAGTATGCAGTACACTTCAAGAGCACATAGAGCCAGCCGTTAGCTCTTGTGCAAATATTGCTTTTTAGTTCATGTTGTGCTGTAATTGAGATGCTACAACTCGGTCTTGATGGCTGTTCCTGTAACTGTTTTTCACAGGGAAAGATTGTTTGCACTTCCAGGTTTCTAAGCCCCTTTACAGGTCCCAGGCAAACCTTGCTGTTAAGAAGCAGGCCAGCTGTTGACCTAGAACTTGAGGTACTTGTTTTAAATTCAGCCTTCTTGCAAATTCATTTTGATTCTAGAACACCTTGAAAGTCAGGTTTGTATGTATTAACCACCTAACAAAAGCAATGAGCAACCATGTATATGCAGCTCTGGAGCCTGAGAAATAGTGAACGAGAAACCTGTATATCTAGTTTGGCAATTGCATTAATGAAGCCTTAAATTTCCATCTGTCTCTCTAGGAAGATGGAAATCTCCCTGCCATCCATAAAATCCGTGCTAATCAGTTTATAAGAAGGAGGTCAGCAGCCTGGAAGATGGAAACACAAAATTCAGGTAGTATATAGGCACTGTCAGGAATGTGGCCTCTGCATTTAAAAAAGCTTCTCAGAGCTCTAAGGTGAGACTGATTAACAACCAGACTCCTACGGTGAAACTAAAATCTCGTGTGTGGAACAGGTAGAATTTTGCTCAGACTGTGTGTACATTAGAGGTAAGGGCTGCCATAACATTGCCACAGCTAATGCAAGTTGTTGAAACCTTGCTGTTTTTAACATAAATATGTACTTACGTTCTAGAAAGAAAAGAAATCGGGAAACAAAATCCTAAATACTTCCCTCAAAGGAAAATTAACAGCCCAAACCCAGCAAGCAAACTAGAGTCCCTTTCCATAGCAGCGTTTCAGTGAACACACTCCTTCCCCTGAGGGAAAGTTTGGGAAAACAAACAGCAGAGGAGAAAGTCTGGCTGGTTTCAATTTGCAAGTGGGAGGTGTGCAGGCATTATGGCTGCGAGTGTGTTATAGGAACCTACGTGATGAGGCTGGTATGTATTTGCCACATTGTGTAAAGGTTGCATACTGAGAGACTTCCAAACGCCTCGCCTGGCAATTCCTAGCCCTGGCATGTTGTCTTTGCAGAATGATTGGCAGACCCTCAGGTTGCGCATATCTCTGAAGGAAACTGTCCTGCTCAGTTACCCAGAGGTCTGTGGATGCTTGAAAACGTTGTGTTTGTAACCTTTGAAACTGCTGTCTGGTGGCTGGGCTTTATAGTATTACGGACAACAGATGGCAAATGGCTCTGCTGATGTAATTCTTGCTGGTGTTTCATTCCTATGAAGTTGCACAGTTTCAAAATCTCAGAAAGTGCCTCCATATTTTTCCTGCATAATGATTTCAGGCCAAACTAAATAGAAACATTTTCTATTATTCAGATTCCTATGGTGTCATGTGACATTGTGGTAACGATTGCCTTGCAGCAGTTTCAGATAAGTGCACGTTTGGTAGCAACTTTAAGGCCTGTGTCCTTTAAGTAATGCTTATTAGGATGTAACAGATGCTGTTTAGAAACATTATGCCTTTTAATAGGCTCTGCTTTTAGCCTACATGTTCCCATTCCAGGCAGACTGTGGATAAGGAAGGCTTGGAGGTATGCTGTCGTTTATGCAAAGCCTAAGTCAATTTTCTGCTCTGAAGTCAAGCCATGTGTTTTTCCTTGTTTCTTCCATTCTGGTCATAGCTGCCTTGCTGTGTTTTTCCCTCTAGTCATATCTTTGGCTGATTGTCAAGCAATTGCAATCAAAACCTTTTGCATTTTTAACCACCAGCAGTGGTTTCTTTTGTCCTTACAGAAGAGCCTGTGTAAACTGAATTTGAACACACTGAGCCTCACTATCAAGAGCACAGCAAGCACAGAGTTAGCCCTCTGTTGCCAGCCTGTCTTTCCTTCTCTGCTTTTTCCTCCTCCCCAAAGGAGAAAAAGGGAAAAGCAGAGCCATGCTGATTTTGGAGCACCTTCAAAGACATGTAGAATAGCTGACACAATGGCACAGAGAAACAAGAGTGATGTTTACATATTTCCTCCACTACTGGCAGCTGTTTATTAAAGCAAGTTCTGAGACAGCCTTGTGATAGCTGGTGCAGGTGATGTATTAATTTGCAGCCATGTAATAAATTTAGCAAAGGGGCTATTAGTGGGGGAAGGGATTTTGGGTTTTGTTTCTTTCCTTTCCCCCCCCCCCGTCACCCCTCCCCTCAAATTAATTGCTTTATTTTGAAATTATTCTGGCTGTGCAAATTGGTTCTTGCAAGTAATTTGGAGAAAGGCTGCTAGGCTTTCTTAGGCAGACTTATGCTCTCTGCTGGTGGGAGCAGTAGGCGTGTCACATGTAAAGAATTTGCAGCTGAAATTATGTGGTATTTGAAGCTGGTATCTCTGAAAATCTAGACAGTTGTCTCATATTTTCATTGCTACTTTGTTTGCTTGGGGAATATTATCCTTTCTGATAGCAAAGCAGGGTTTTCAGGTGCTCCTGGTGTGCCACATTCTGCTGTGGTTTGTATGAGGTGATGTTAAGGGCTGCGTGTGGCATGACTTGAGTTTTCTCACACTTCCTTTGGGTGATGGTAGTAATGGGGAAATGTATTTGATGTGGTACTTAAATCCTAGGTCTTGTTCCAGGTTGTAACCATGTGTGTTTCAGTAATAACTTTTAATTATTCAAACACAGCCATTTTCATAAAGTGTCCTGTCAGTCTGTCTGGCTTCTCCCCGTGGGATGAATTCATCTCCATGCTAGACCATTTGTCAATCTCAGTTGTCATTTCCTGCCATTTCACCGTTCTGTGTTCATCACAATGGGAGTCATTATTTTCCTCCTTTCCCTCAAGTTACAGGATGCTTTTGAAGCAGTGCATCCTCCTTTCTACCTTCCATCTTTGTAGAGGACTGAATTGCCACTATCTGCATTTACACTTGTGCTTCATAAAAGATCTACTGCTGTCCAAAGAACCTTTCCTGCCATTTTCCTTTCAAATCAGCCTCTTTCCAGTTGTTCTGGAGAACTTGTGTATTTTATTTTGTTTAGGGGATAGGCAAATAATTGAGTTGACAAATTCTTGCCATTTGAGTGTTTGCTTCCATATGCAAGAAAAGACAAGTCTTGACACCAGAGAAGCTGTGGCTGCCCCATCCCTGGAAGTCTCCAAGGCCAGTATGGACCAGGCTTGGAGCAGCCTGGTATAGTGGAAGGTGTCCCTGCCCATGGCAGGGAATTTATGATCTTTAAGGTCCCTTCCCACCTGAATCATTCTATAATTCCAAAATCCATACCTCTGCCCTCAGTAGTCAAAGTTAGACTTTTCCAGGAACACTTCTGCCCATTTCTTGATTGTGTGAAAACCAGTATTTATTAAGAACTTGATGCTGATGTTCACAAGTTCAGAGGTATTAACAACAATCACACTGAATCATTAGAATTTCCTTGGAAAACCTGATGTAAATGTGAGCCTCAAAGCCTGAATTAATGACAGTCCTGAATCTCCCTTTTCTCCAGCATTTTCCCCTGAATTATTCTGTAAGCTGCCTCTTTCTTTTTTACATCTAAGCTCTGTGAAAAACAAGTTAAATGTGCAGAAATATGAATTCTGATATGTCATAGTTAGCTGGTAGCACTTCCATGGTTTAACAGTATGCTGCAGTTTTTATTTGTAAAGTCTGTTTCTGGGCTGTAATACCTCAGCTTTTTTAAATTACATTGGGTTAAAACTTTGTGCTAAACATGCCAGTCCAGATGTGCATTGTGTGTGTAATAGGACAGGGGTAGCCTGTTTACACAGATGTATTTTAGTTTATTTGTACTATGAGTAGGATGTGGCTTTATATTTTTAAGTGTAACAGTGCTAAAGAGCCATCTGAGAAAAAACAGATATAGTTGGAACCTATTTGCTGGAACTTTCATTGTGGGACTACTGCAGGTTTGAATGGAGGAAATATCCCTTCAGTATAACTCACCATTACGTGAGTTTCCTCAATATGCACTTGCTTTTCTAGCCTTCAAAACATTTTAATTAATGTGGTTTCAGCTAAATATTTTTATTTAAAAAGCTAAATAATTAAATCAATTATTTAATTTCCTTGTCTATTTTTTTTTTCCATTCCAAAAATTGTGGATTACCTTAAGTTTTGGGAAATGAAAAACATGTGTTTTATAGGCCTGGTAATAGAAGGTTCAGAAGGCCTTCAGAGCTCATGGCAGAGTGTGAAAATTGAAGGTGTTTTCCTTTTTCTCATCAATGTTCAGCTAAAAATATCTATATAAATAAAGCTTTTTTCTTCTATTTTCTGAAATCAGTAGTAAAAATGTGTTTGTGGGAATGGCATGGCTAGCGGGATGGCAGCCTGTGTTTGCAGTGCCTAAGATTTTGTTTGCCCTCCATTTGAGTGGCAAAATTTGTAGTAATGACATATATAGCTAAGATCATCTATTTAATCAAACAGGTTTCTTGACTGGGAGTGGGATTAGGATTATTTTTTCCCCTCTGATTTAAGGCATTAATTCCACAGTTGAAGATTGTTTACAGACAAACTTTTATTTACTTTGTCTCCTGAAGCCCTTCTGGCTGTTTGAGTTGTGACAGAATAATAGTAAGTGATGCATGAATGGAATTTTGGGATTAAAACATACAACCTTGAAACCTACATCCTGACTATTTCAAGAGTTCTTGTTCTATTAGAAATGGGGGAAAGCAGAGCAGTGGGAAGGACAGTGTTTTCATGGATGGTGTGCAGCACGTGGTGCAGAGCTGCCTTGCTGTGCTGGACAGATACCAGAGCTCAGCGTTCGCCCGCTGGCTCAGCTGCCACCACATGCTGTTATGATACTGCACTTTCACTTCCACCAGAATTTGGGTTTTTGGCATGTATTTTGCTCAGTGAAATTCAGGATGTGAGAGTCAGGTTCTGTGTGCACTCCCGGGAGCGTGCCAAAGACCTCTTCCTTCCTCTGAAAGGTTAAACAAATATGGTTGTCTAACGATAACCACATGCCTGGAGCTGTTCAGGCTCATGGGAAGGGAAGGAGAAGAGTTGATGTGAAGCCCTGCTGTTCATCGCAGAGCTCCTGCTCCCATGAGAGGGTGAGAGACAGCACTTCAGTCACGTGTGTATGGTTCAGAAGGGCAAGAAAAAGTAGTTATTCAATCCTGGACACTGTCCTGGGTGTGCTTCTGTAGTATGGCAGTGGCAGTCCATGGAGAAGTGAGAACAATTTATGTTATGTGACTTCTTGGTCTTTTTACGTAGTGGTTTCAGAGGCACCTATAAGGAAAACCTCACACCCTTTTGAAGTGGTAGATAAGACATACACTTAACTGATAAGGAACCAGTCAGAAGATGCAGTGATTTGTTAAGGGCCACAAAAACACACCTGTGTTAAGAATAAACCTTAGGACTTCTTAGTTGCATGGTTTAATTACAACACTCCCTCCTAACTATTGACATGGTATACTGACATTTTGTTTTGGTGCACATTTGTCTCATATTGCAGTGTGGTTTTTGAAATAAAAAGAAAAAAAAGGAAAACACTTCTTGGACAAAACCCCCCAGAATATCATCAGAAATGCTTAAAACCTGCTGAAGTTGGTTTTTTTCTCCCCCCTTTTTTTTTCCCTTTTTTTCTTTCTTTGTTATTGTGAAATATATTGGCATGAAAATAAAGCAAATAAACAAAGCCAGTGCTGCTATTGCAAGCATTAGAAATGGCAAAGCTGAATTAAAAAATAATGAAACTTGCAAATTAGAAATGTTAAGTTTTTATCTCTCTTGTGCCTACACCACTAGAAATCTGACTGAGGTATTTTTCATATTTTTACATGTAATATTATGCACAAATTTGTGCAAATGTACAAAATCCAGATACAAGCCCAGTGGTGACTGATGGCTCTTCTGTATACATACAGCTCTTAATGGATGCATGTAGTATCCTTCTCTGTGTTTGTAGAACATGAAAAAGTAGTTGTAGGATAAATGATTAATTCACTTCAGACATAACACTTTTCATGCTTCATCTACAGTGAGGTTGATGTATTTTGCTTTACAGTCTGGCTGCATCCTAAATGCCCTTACTCTGAAATGGGCATTTCAACAAGTCTGACTTTCCTGGAAGGACCAGCAATAACTCAGTGCATCTTAATCGAGCCAGTGGTGTGTCTAGTCTGGAAAAAAAACTTGCATCACCAACTTTGTTGGCTTAAAGGAACAATATTAATTACCTACAAGTGAATGCAGGAATAGAAGATTAAGAATGAAAGCAAATACCCCCAGTTCTTGGAAGTGTCCAAGGCCAGGTTGGACAGGGCTTAGTGGAAGGTGTCCCTGCCCATGGCAGGGGGTTGGAATGAGATGATCTTTACAGTCACTTTCCACCCACACCATTCCTGGTTCTAGGAAATATCTCTTGTTTAGTAAATTGTGTATTGTCTTCATGGTCAAGATTAACTTTGCAAAGAAGCTTCAGAGTATATGATTAGATGGAAGGATGTCCTTTACCTCTGGACATTTCAACAGTCTGTAGCTTCACTTCTGGAATTTCACATATGACTTGTATGCACCATGTGTTTTCTGTTGTACTGAGAATAAATTCTTTTGCCTGTGGAAAAATATTTCCTGCTTACTTTAACTGGTATAATGAAATCTTGCTGAGTCTGTAGTGATGGTGGTCTGTCTCTAATTCATAAAAACTAATTCTACTTTAGGGTAGAATTTTGTCTCCCATTTTGTGATTGCATTTATGTACCTGATGCAGAACATGTGTGTGCTGATGAGATATATCTGGATTCCCACATATTGATCTTTTTGGGTCCTAAGTGAAGTAAAATTTGTCTGACTTTTATCTTTCAAGGAGGATATTTGTCCACTTGAAACTCCCATCAAATTCAGTTCTGTTGTCTAGAGGGGACAAGGGATAGAATAGCAGTGGGAGCAAAAAAAGCTGAATTTAGGGGTCTAAATTGAAGCAAGGGCCTTGGTTTATTCCTTTTTGTCAGAGTTGAACAATGTTTTAGGCTGAGGTTTTGGAGGGTAGAATCTCCTAAAGATGACTGAGTTGTATGGGCAGTGCATGCTGATATTTATAGCTGGTTTTAGCTGTAGCTTTTCACTTCAAAAAATCAAGTTCTTAGTGCAAATTGATGACAGATCACCAGAGTGAGAGGAGATGTACTTGCACATCCTCGCTTGAGAATGTGGCCCAGACTGCTCCATGGAAACAAAAGAGAGAAGCAGATGCGCTGCTAGTTTTTGCTTTAAAATCTCTACTGCACGCCTGAAATGGAAATGTGCTCGTTGGGTTTCTCATTTATTTGGCTCTAGATAATTTTTCCCTGTGGAATTGCAAAGCTTCCATGTCCTTTGCCCTGAAAGCAGGTGCCCTGCAGAAGACAAAGGCATGCCTAATAACAATAGTTATGGATACACTTGAGGGTTTTTTCTTGTGCCTGTATACAATGGAAGGGTAAAAGGGACATATACAGCAGGGTAAATGTTATTTTGTCACTTTATATTGGGAAAAAGTGGGAAACACATTAGTTAACATAAAAAGAAATTCAGGTGACACTTTTGTTCCATACTGTTCCGAAAACAACTTCAGTCTCTCTCCCCATCAACAATTTTCTTCTTCACAAGAAATTTTTTATTCTGTTTGCATAGGAACACGTGCTCCTAACTCACTTCAGTCTTTCCTGTGCGATACACAGCCAGTGTATTGCACTGGAAACCTAAAAGCATCTTTTAAAAGGAAAAGATTACTTCTGTTCAAGGCTGTATTGATGGAAAGTTGGTCAGAAGTTTCCTCTAATGCCTCATTATTTAATCTGTGACCTTATTTTGTCCTCCAAGTGGTCCTTGTTACCTAGAGTACAAGCATATTATGTAGCAGAAAGTTAATTGCTCAGTTCAGTGAGGAGGAGACACGACTGTGCTGTTAAGTTGCATTGGCTGAACCGTGGCAGGAGGGAGCCCTGTGAGCAGCACTTCATGAACAGTATTTATTAGCATGGCAAATATTTTTCTTTGTGCTAAACTCAAGTCTTACATGCTGCTCTTTTGTAAAGATTAATTTACTAGTAAATTTGCTTTTGTGAATTACCAAAGTTTTGAATAATAATCTTTAATTTCTCTCCTGACATAAGTTCTTTGCTCAGTGATTTTTAAGTTCTGCCTGGGATTTTATAATGTGACTTGACTTGCCAGTGCTGCTATGCTCTTTTCTCTCCCATTTTGTCACATAACAAACATGCTATGAAACCCATCTACAGAGTAGCTTCTCTTCAGCATTCTGAGTACACAGCTCTGCTGCCAAGCATTGAGATGGAAGCTGGTTGCCTGCAAAGGGCAGGAAAATAATGTTTAAAGCATTGTAAGCATTTTAATTTTCTTATCCTTTTGCTGAAGAATCAGATACTGATCACTGCTGGAGGGACCATGGGTGAATAGTCTGAGCTGGTACTACAAATCCCATGCTCCTACTTTTATGTGGAAATGTCTCATTTTCAATATGGTACCTATATGATTCATAGTTTGTTAATCTTAGTATAGACAGGTCTTGCACTGGTCCTTTCAAGACTCTTCCTTGTCTCAGCCATATACTTTACTACCAGTGCAGTTATTTCACATTTAACTTACTAAGGGAGGTGCCATGTGAGACCAAACCATCATTAAAAAAGGAGGATTCAGAACTAAGAGGCCAACTACAGCTCTGTGGTAGAAAATTTGGTCCTCATGTGGGCTTACAAGAGTTGCAGGCGTAGCCTGTTGATTGGAAGCCCCTTAAATTGAAGCTATTTTATTCCTGTGATAGAACAGTGGCTGAAAACTATTTGGGTGTCTTGTCTTGGTCTTTTTCTTGGGCTGGTGATAGTGAGTCTGGTTTGTTGTATCAGAAGGAGGTTATTGCTTCTTCAGGAACACCAAGCAGCTGCTGGGGAAACAGAGGTTTTAAGACTTAGGTTTCTTATTTAATATAAAAAGTAAAAATAGCTTGTGTTTTATTTTAATCACAGGTCGACTTTACTTGGTTGATACAGTAGCAGGAGATCCAGAGGTTCTGCAAGCAGATGCTGAAACATACTATGAAAAACTCTTGAAGAAGTCACTATCCAGTCCTGATGTTTTTTGCATCCCTGGAAGAGGAGAGGTAATAGGCTGATGTTTCTCATGCTGCTAGTTAGATTCTTGCAGATTAGTTTGTTGGTTGTGCTCATATATGCTAATAGGGGTAAACTGGTATGGCTAGATTGCCAAAAAAAAAAATCAGTAAATCCTGCATTATTTCAAATAATTTGCATGCTGTAAATGAGAGATAAGCTTAAACTCCAAGTCTGAGTGTTGAAGAGGGTTTGAAGTATTTTGGTGAACTTTTCATCTTGACCTGCCTCCTTACAGGACTAAATAAAAAACGTATTTTAGAGATTTATACCATGGTGCTGCTCTGTATTCTGCCTCTGCTGTGCGGTTTACACAGTCTATCTTTTGTTTCCATTCTTTCCAAAACTTTTATTGGCAATTTTGGATGTGGATTCTCCCAAAGGAATTCTGTTCCTAAGACACCTGGGTGGAATAGAGATGACTGAACAGGCTTATTAAACATTTTTACTGCAGTCAACCTATGAAACCTTTGATTCTGGCATTTGTAGATCATAAAAGGTGTGCTGAGGTACCTGTTATTATGCTATCAAAGCAGAAATTGGATTAGTTAAAATCAATGCTTGGGATACAGTCGCTTTTCTGCAATTTAGGAAAATAAGATGCAGTAGTTTCCAGAAAAATGCTGTTCCAGGTGGGATCAGCTTCAGCTTTGAGCTGGGAATGTAACGGGGTTTAAATACTCTTTTAATGCCCTCTAGTGGAGCCCGTGGGGCTAAATACAGAGTGAACATGCAAAGATCCCCCAGTTTAGAGCTTCTGTGTCCTTACCTTCCATGCCTGCTTGTACTTTCAGAGGTTCATTTGCTGTTCCAGTAGGAGGGAGAGGAGGTTAAAATCCCAGGCAGTGCTCTGTGTGTTCCTGCAAAAGCCACACACACTGAGATCAGTTAAAGTTGGACTTCTGGCTTCTGATTCACAACTGTCTTGATTTTGTGGCTTGTCACCAGCCCTTAAATATATCACATGACTGATTTGAGTCTCATAGCAACACATTTCTCTTTGGATGCATTTAATTCAGGTCTAATCTAATCTGCAGTCAGCCAGTCAAGGGCATAAGTAATGGTAGTGTTCTTGCTGTATTGTCTTTTTCCTTATAGTCTATAATAAATAGCTCAAAGAATGTTGTTGATTTGTAATTTAAAAGAATTCAAATATTATAAGGTAAAGCTTCCATTGATTCCCAGTGAAGATCCCAGCTAGCAGTCTCTTATAGACCCACAGCCTGAAGGATGGGGGATTTGGTGTTTGAATAATGGCTGCATTACCAAACATTTTTTCCCCCTTCGGCGTCCGAATTGAAGCAGGTATCAAATGGCAGGACTGGCAACAGTGTATAATTATTTAGCAGGAGTTAAGTGGCTGTCAGCCCACTTGCTGAGGTCACAGAACTTCTTTTTGGTATGGCTTGGTCAAGCATTCAGGACGCAAATAGCAAGGATTACTGCAAGTCAGGATGAGAGCCACACAGGTTGGCAGCAGCCACACACAAAGCTGTGCTTAGCTCATGCTGCTCTTGTTAACACCTGTGAAAGTGCACATTACCTTATCAAACAAAATAACAATCATGGCAGTATTGGAAGTAGTCCTGGCCTTTTCATTATGGAAATGCTCCCAGGTGCCATAATGACATTGATGCTGTTATGTCTGAAGCATGCAAAGAGCAACTGAATCCTCAGATTTAGGCAAGCTCATGAATACAGATTTCAAGCAGTTTTCAACTTTTTTTTTTTTCCTGGAGTCCAGTGTTTGCATAGATGCTTCCAGGATTCTGGCACTCATAACTAGTGAACACTGGTTTCAGCTTAGAGTTGTTATCCTGAATTATCCATATTCATATTTCTTCCATGTACCAAGAAATATTAAATGTAACACGTGACTGATTTGAGTTTCATAGCAAACTGACAAATGGGTGCAATTAGAGAGAGAGGCACACCCACACATACACAATGGACCAGATTTTGGAAAGTACAGTACATACTGTGCTAAGTCATGCACGCTCTTTGCCTGTACCTAAACTTACATGACAGCATTTGCAATATTCATATGGAAATCGTCATTTCTATGCATATAGAGCTGTTTGAGCACAGTAATTTTGTGTTTATGTGTCACATCATTTTAAAGTTTAGTCTAAGAGCAGAAGCTTGAGAGCTGCGTTTTGATTTTAGCTTTGCCTTCAACTTAACCACCTTGTGCCAATTATCTACCCTCGCTGTGCCTCGAAGATAAACTGCCCAGGCACTGCCCTAATGCTTTGATACTCCCTGTACCCTGAGGCTTAATTCATTGTTTGCAAAACACCACAAATACTCAGCTGGAGGATGCTGTAAGAAGTGCAAGTTGTATTTGTTTTCATTTGGTGTGTCTGGTCTTTCATAACACCATTTGTCTGCGTGTGACAGTGCTCAAAGCCAGGTTATGTACTAACCAGGGCAAGTCAGCATAAAGGTCTTCACTAACTTCAGTAGCTTGATTTCTTTTAAATTAACTTTCCTTATGGATAATATTAGAATATTATGTGTATTTCAGTACCTTGAAGCTGAGGATTGAGAGGGTGTTGTGCTAAGCTTGTACCATGCATGTCAGCAAAGCATGTCAATAAAACATGCCATAAGTGCATCTGATATGTGAAGTACTTGTTGTGAGCTTTGCAGTACAAAGAGCTACAGGGCTTGTTTGTTTTTTAGGTTAAACTTGAAGATTCCTGTGTGTGTTTTGTCCCTCTCTACCGAAATAATCCTACTTGCAAACTGCTGCTGTTAACTGAGCCAAAGGATAAAGAGACAGGTTAGAATTGGTCAAAATATTTTGAAATTTGAGTAGCTGTAATTTCTTTACTTTTAAGATGGTCTGCTTGTTTATGTATTTAAATATTCTGGGTTTTGTTTTGAATATGAAGTGGTTTCAGTTTATCTGTCAAGAATTTGTGTCAGTGGGCTGCTGATTAAATGGAAGACTTGACAATCAGGGCTTTTAAATTCTATGCATAAATTCTCTGCTAGTAGCTGAAAAATCACCTTGGGTAAATCTGTTATTCTTTCTGACTTTATTCAACAGGATAATATTTTTCTAATTCAGAATGATGTGAAATTTAAACACATTATGGTTTGGATAGAATCCTGAAATCCTTAAACAATAAAATACAGGTATGAAATTGTATTGCTTCTTACCGATTCTTGTTAATATATTTTTTTAAATAATTTTTTTTTCAGTCCTAGGTTTAATTGCCTTTTTTTCCCAGTACTGGTGTTTGGGGGCTATCTACTGGTGTGTAGATTACGTGAGGAGTGTTGGTGTTGTGAAGCAATGAGTTGTAGAATTTTTGGCATATCTGCAACAAGGACATGAACTTTTTCTTTGACTCACTGTGTCACTTAGGAAATACAGAACACATGAAACCTCTTAAACTTCCAGCTTCCAAATGTGGCATCAAACTAACGACATCTGTCATTAAAAGTGTACTTTTTTTTTGAAGGGTAAGCTATAAATGATGCCTGAAAGGCATTAATAGCCAGTATTCTTAATAACAAAGCAAAGGCAGAGCAAAATTCTCTGTTCAGTTCTAAGTGTGGCAGGTAATGATCTTGCACTCCTGGAACAGGTTCTGTTAGTGTAAGTGTTCATTGTTCAGTCCTACCCTGTAAGCAGGCAATGTCTTCAGAGGAACAAAAAGCAGATTGAGATCACCTGTGGTTAGAGCTGAACCCTGCAGTTTTCCAGCTCCTTCTACACAGGATTTCAGGTGGACCTTTGCTAATGGACTACGGTCCACAGGAGAAGGTAGGATACCTTTCCAAGCTCCTGGTGTAGTCAAAAGACTTTCTAGTCCCTCTAAAACTATTGATGTAGAATTACTCTTATATAAATTACTAATTTATATATTCCATTAGTGTTTTTCTGAAGAGAGATACACACTGGTGTGATAAAGGGGAGAAGCCTCTACACCAGAGGCCAGACTGGCTCTTGGTGAAATTGTGCTCATCTCCTGACTCATGTTCAAAGGAACGTGCCTGAAAACAGCACTGAGGTAGTTTAGGCTTCACAAGAGGAGTTGGGATCTGTAACTACAGTGCAGAAATAAAGACTTAATAAGTAGATGCAGGTGAAAGTGCATTTAGCACAGCTCTTCAGTGAAATGATCTCATTTAGTATTGGGAACAAGAAGTATTAATGAGATACAAGCACACAAGGAAAAATGATTTCTCACAGGAACAAGTCAAGTCCAATTGGAGCCTAAATTACATTATAGCTGTCTTCATTAAAAGCTTAAACTTAGCAGAATAAACACCTTATTATATTATAAACAACAGCCTAACTGACTGCTTTGACCCCACCCCTTGCAAAATTTCAGCTCAAGTTACCAGTCCAGAATCAGAGGAGCAGAGAGATCTCTAAGCCTGCTACATCACCTGGCTTTTGATATTTCCTTCCAAAAGTCTGATTTAAAGGATTTTCTGGAAGTTCTTTGTTTCTGGATTTTATATACTATAAATATGTGGCTAGTCTTCCTGCATACATCAAATTTGACTGGTGTGTTTTTTTTTTTTTCCTTCAGATGAGTGTTAAAAATTTTTCATTAGTTCTTTAAAGCCTGCTGGGATGTGTGTGCATACCTATACATATGGGTATATACTTTAGAAGTATTTTGTCCTAAAATTTTTCCAACAGCTCAGCAGATTTGGAGTTGACTCTTAGGGTGGCAGACTGTGCTAATGGGGCAACTCCACCTGGATTTGCTCACCTACATGACCTTTTGTTCTGACCAGTGAACAGATCAAATTAATTCAAAACAAATTCCTTCAGAGAGGGCAATATATTTTAACTTAGTCATTGTTACTTTAAGGACATTTGACTTTAAGGACAGAAAATGAAAACATTTAACAAGTTACATAATTTTCTTTTCCTGACTTGAGTTTTTCTTGTGAAACAAGTTTCATGCAGATGGAAGAGGGAAACATTTTTGCTATAGTTGATATTTTCTCTTCCTCTACCTGTCCACTGCCTCTGCATTTTAGTTTTTTTCCACAGCAGGAGCACTCTTAGAAGCAAATTTCCTGGTTGTCCCCAGATACTGTGTTGATGATATGTAATTATTGAAAATTGGTTTAAAGAGGGGTGGATTCCACGACTGAGATTTATTTCTGATCATCTTGATAAGATGGGTTGTCCTGAAGTTATGTGTAGCTTGTGGTTTGAAATGATCTGCATATTTCAAAGAGAAAATGGGTATGGCATCTTTTCTGTAGGACATGGTCTTGGTTGGAAGCATTTTAAGTTTATTTTTGATGGGCTGAGTGTTGTGTTATGTTAGTATATCTGTACAGATATTTTTATGAGAATGTAAATTGCATTGTAAGAGCTTACAGAGCATAACATGGGTGATTAACATCTTTATAACACTAAATAAACATACCTTATTGTGGCATTTTCTGTATGCTGCATGTAATAATTCACAATAACTGTGAGATGCCTTGGAACATTTATCACAAGACATTTGCAACAAATCACGGAGTGAAGCTTGAATTGTAGAAGAAAATGTAACTGGTTGCAGGAAAGATCTATCTGAGATACTTGAATGGCTGCCATTCCAGCAGGAATATGCCTGCCTCCCAAGCTTTAATGTATTTGTTTTGATAACATTCCTAGAAAAGACCGAGAAATGCTCTTATTCTATTTTAAAGACAGGGAACTCTGGAACCCAGCTAGTTCAGGGTATGTCAATGCTGCAGAATGCAGTTCAGAGTAGGATTTCTGAGGATTTACCTTGCTCCAGTATCAGAGTATTTCCACAATGGAAGTCTTAAAAATGAGATCTCTTTAAGTCTGTCAGCAATCCTAAACAGTGACAGGATTAAGGTAAAGTTGACTTTAAATGAAGTGACACTACTTTATCTTAGATATTTATTAAACAAACTCTAATTACATCTCTCATAAGTAACATCACCTTTATTTAGTTTGTAACTGAGGGATGTCTTTCAGCAGTTCAGATGGGGCAGGGGAAGAAGAAGAGCCAAGCAGGATGTTGCTTTATTTTTTTCTTCTTTGCTCTGTGTGTAGAATCCTGATGTGCACATTTCACTTAAGTAGTTGCACACCAGTGTGGGAACATTTGGCCAGCATAGCCTAGGAAGTAAAAATATAATCCAGGCCTGAGTTGGGAAGGGATCCATGTTTGCCCAGCAAAAGTAGACATTTCATAATCTCAATTGTATTATGCTTGGTGCCTAATTCAGTTCAGTCCTGGATTCCAAACACCCCGTGCTGTGGAATCCTGTGCTCCACTGCCTGTCAGCTCCTTGCAACACTCTGTGTTTGTCTGAGTGCAGGTGATGAAAGTGCTGAGGTTTAGCAAGCTGGTGCTTACAGGGCAAGCCACCCACCTGAGCATGTGTAAACCCCATTAATTGTGACCTGAAATGCATTTCACCTGGCCTTGCAACTGCACCGTCAAGCACATCAGGTTTTGCAGTTGCAAGGTCACTGTAGTCACACACATCATGATTCACAGGGTTCAGGGGATGTGTGTTGGCAGTAACTCCATCTCCTGTGAGCAGGTGAACTGAATGTTTTGGAAAGAATAACAAGGCTGGGAAGGGAGAGAGAGGGAGCATGTGGTCTCACAAATCATGTTTGCATTTGAAGTAGTGTTCCTCAAAGTTGATTATAAAATGAAAATGAGAATATGGGGAAGCATGGATGGATTTAACTGCGGACCAGATGTTGACTTGAAAAATGATAACAAAAAGCAAAGTACATATGTTTGTGTGAAATCTGGAGAAATGTTTTTCCTTCAAGGAAGGCATCCATATAGATAAGGTTGCTCAAGTAATGTGATGTGACAGTTGCTATGTCAACTAGTGTTCCCTTCCACACATTTAAATTATTGAATAGCACAGTAAATGTTCTATAAAAGCAACTCCTTCTAACATGGTTATGCATCTTCCTGTTTTCCTCAAAGCTTTTAAAAACTTTTCTGACCTTTACTATGTGTCTTGTATGTCTGAACTGTGTGCCAAACCTCTTTGCAGCTCTTATTAAAGTCAGCATTTGGCCCATTATGTCCCCTTTGTGTGACTCAGCTCCCTTTGTAGCTGCATGTTTCATGGATGTGTAATGGAGCAGTGGCTGCTGCATTTGAAAGCAGAGGGAAGGGTTTGAGGGAACAGATTGAATCCATCACATAAAGAGTATGAAAATCCCATGCAAGTAAGTGCATAATATTTAATGAATTGAGTCTGCTGCTATAAACAGGCATCTGCCCTTGCGTGCAATACTTCTTCCTTGTTAACCCAGCACACAATGTGTAATGCTTTTTGGCACATGCTTTAATAATTTATGGGAAATATAAGTTAGCTAAGCGGAATCTCCAGCCTTAAAACCAGCAGGGTTGAGGGAGTCTGGAGCAAAAAGGGAAATTAACCTGTGTGCATCAGTGACAATCGTATAACCTGAGGCTAAAACAGGTAAATGATGAATCCTGTCCTTTAAATCATTTCATTTCTTCATGTGTGAATTTGTTGCTAACTCACAGATGGTTTTGAACTTTCTTATATTTGTCCCTAGCTGGGTAGGTTAGAGCCAGTTCTCCAGTGTTGGAGCACTCTGTTAGGACTCAAGGCATGTGAACCCTTTACTGCTCTTTGCAACATTCCTCCTATATTATAGCCTATCTTTCTATACAAAAATGAACATGGTAGGTGTCCTATTTGGAGATATTAAAAATACTGATAGTCCTTAGCAGTCCTGAAATCATGGAAATGTACTTTAGGTGAATGTCACCAGTGTACAGATACTAAAAGTTCTTTTGGCTGAAATATTTGCTGTTTGATGTGTTTGTGTTCATAAATGATCAGATTTCTGTGTTTATTCCAAAACCTCATCTAAACCCTTAAAATTTATTCTCTATCCTTTGGAATGACCCCATGTCAAAGCTTTTCTTTCTGAACAAGGCTTGGAAGTAATTTCAGTGTCATTGTTGCTGCTTCAAGTCTTTTCCTTATAAATCTATTGGCAGGCAATGAATTTTGTAGATGAACATGTAGGAGTAGGGTTTAAATACTTGTTCCTGCAAATGTGAAAAATTGAGGAAGGATGGGAAGAAGTGGGGTGCAAGTTTTGCATCACACCTACATGAGGACTTGACTTACGTGGGTTGCTGATAACACTTTTGCTTCAGGGCAAACTCTATCTTATTATGTGTGTCTATGTCTGTCTTTTGTTGATAGGAACCTCTCTGTGTGCATTTGAACCTTGGAGAATATCTGTCCGTGCAGAGATTTAGGAGTCTGTACTCTAAAGCTACCCACAGATAGAAATTCAATCACAGAGAGAGCTGCAAAGCTGTTTGATAAAGCAGATATGAGAATTTTCGTGTTTGACTTGCATGAGTGCAAATATGTGCACTCAAATATATGCAAATATATGTGTGTGTGTGCAGGGGAAAGTTTGAAAGAAACTTGAAAACTGTAACCTTTATCCAGGTAGCTCCACTGTCCCAAATGCCACTCAAACCTTCTTTGCTACTGAACTTAGTATTAAGCAGGAAGTGCTTTATTCATATGGAACACAGGCTGTCACACCAAAGTCACATCAATTCCTGAGAAAAATTACCTTCACTTGATGCCTCGTGCAGTACTGAAAATTGGATATCAAGGGATGTGGAGGTGAAATTGAAATACAGTTGTTCTTCTGTCTCACAGCAGAGCAGACTGGAGTCAGCTGGAGGGAGAAGTAGATCTGAGGCTGCCTGTGGAAAAACTGCGAACCTACTTTGTATTTGCGGGTCACGTGTTCCCCTGTTTTTGTTGTTGTTGTAGTTTTGGCAGTTTATCTGAGCCAGCGTTGGTGGCCTGTGGAAGATGTTGTGAAGACAGCTGATCCTGCTAGAGATGGGCTCATTTTGGTGAGGATGCTGTTTTGAACTGTTGCCTTTACCCTGGAGCTTCCCAGTCAGAGCAATCATATGGAGTTGTCTTTGGTCTACAACAGCTCCTGCTCTGAAATTGTGGGATCTGGGCTCTGTGGCTCACCAAGTGCTTCATGTCTCCAGGACACAGTGACATGCACATTAGCCCTCTCTAAACAATTCTGCAGCTTATGATTCATCTGTGGGATTTATTTTCTTTTGGTTTTTAGTTTACCCTCGCTGCCTACTAAAGGAATAATCATAAACTGAATTACTACATTAGCAATAATTTCTCACATTAACTGTCTGGTGGGAGGTCTTACTACCCTTTGGAACAATGTCTTATCTAGTTCTGAGTTTTCTTTTCTCCTTGGATAATGTTTATATTATATTCATTTTATGAAATGGTTGCTATTTAGTAATTTCTATATCCATAATTATTTTTCCAAATGAATTGTTTTGGTAAGATAGAACTACTTTTTCATAATTTGAAGAATTTGGGTAGCCTGCAACCAAAAAGTCAGATGCCTGCTGCATATGAGCTTTGTGTTGCCGTGAGGTTATTAAGTCAGTTTTGTTTCCTACTCAGCTCTCAGTATCTCTGGTCCTTAATGATTCCATTCCTTTATCATCTTTTCCTGTCACACATAGTGTTTAATTATTTGCAGAATTAAGTAGGCTTTTTATGGGTAACTGAACTGGAGGGATATTGACATACCAATCCTTGCAAGGTAGAATTTGGAGCAGGACACAGGCCTTCAGGCTTTCAAGCATCTCTGTATCAACAGAGAATGAAAATAATGTCTGAAAAGAGAAATCTTACCCCCTCTAGCTCATTGCTAAAAGGTAAATTGCCATTATATGTGGAAACTCTAATTTCTTTCTCAGCATTCATGTGAAGCTTGTTGGCAGCAGTTTTTACCTCAATGATCAATATAATCTTGTTCCTCTATATTCCTTCATCTCCCTGTCCTGTCAGTTGTCTCCTAAAAAGGCCAGCACAGAATAATTGTTAATGTTACACCTAGGTTATAGCTGGTTGAAACAGACTATTCTCTGTTTTACATAGTGTCTTTCTCAGTAAGTCCCTGGCCCTCTTTAATTCTTCGATGCTGTGGCAACACTAGGGGAGAGGTGACCAAGCCCACAGTGTGAATCCAATCTTCATTTCACTTTTAAGTAGGATTAGATTGCCTTGATCCTAGTTCCAAATCTGTGGCTGCAATCAAGATACTTCTGCTGCTTTAGAATTCCTCTCTGTGACAACAAGAGATATGTCAAGCTTTATAAATAGTTACTAAATTATTCTATGCCCGCTGGATAGAGGGTGAAACACTAGGAAAAACTGTTTTTGTTATTCTAGCTGAACCAATTCAGGAGGTATTTTCCCCAAATTAAGTGTATGTGTTTCCTGACCTCCTCCTTCCCAGCCTCTTTTGATTTTGAAACCTTTTATGAGATGCAAAATACTATTCTCTGCCTCATTTTTCTTTGGTCTGTTTTTGTTTGTTCTCTTAGGTCCAGACATTTGGAGAAAGGATTGTCCTCTTTGTTCTGAACTGCATTATTTTTGGAATGCTGGAAGGGAGTTCAGCTAATGATGCATTCTTTTTACCTCACTCTGCCACCGAGTGTGCCAAGATACTCTGGAGAAACGGCGAGGCTGCTGCCTTTTACTCGGTCAAGATGAAAGGTAAGGTCATTTTAGAGACACATTTCCACTGGTTCCTAATAGCTAGAAACATAATCCTTTTGTTTATTTTTCAGTATAAATAATCCTGGCTCTCATCTACATTTTTATATGAAATCTCCCTCAGAATTAATCTGGGGAACAAACCTTCCCAGAATTTGGAAGCCATCCATATTACTTTCATTTCAACATGATAGTTCCAAACCCTATTCTGATCTGAGGTACTGGCTTACTCCAATAAAATGTGCTTAATGCAGCCAAGTAGGAGGTTGTACATCTAGGAACAAAGAATGTTGGGCCTATCCACAGGATGCAGAACTGCATCCTGGAAAGAATCATACCTGAAAAAGGAGTGCAGTTCCCAGTGGTAAAACATATTGGGGGTTGGTGGTGGCAAGAAGAGGAAGGATCCTTGGATGTGTGAGGAAGGTGTGTGCACTAGGTCAGTCCTGGAATTCTTTGGGCAGTTGTGGTACTCGCAGTTGAAAGGATGATGATTAATTGATTTCATAATTAATTGATTAAGTGCCATAGAAAAGAAACAAAATGTGTTTTAATTCTTTAGGGATACCTGATTAACTTTAGTAAAGGTCTTATTAAACACAGAGTCTGTATCAATGCAAATAATTGCTGTTAACCAGTCTGGAGTGGAAAAGGCTTAACTGGAATAACTTCAGTTATGCAGTTGAGCCTGTGCTCCCATGTGGGAGCTGGTTACCAGCCTGTGCTTAAAACTCATGGGAATCACCTTGATACCAGCAGCTTAAACGCAGAGAAGGTGAGATCTTTGGAAGTAAAATATTGCCCAAGTCAGGACTCAATAGCTATCCATCCAAAATGGGAGAAAGAGAGCAGCTTGAGAGATGGGTTGGTTTGTATTCCAGAAGACACTCTGAAGGTGCCTTTTCTGCTGCAATGCCAAAGGCAGCAGCAATGGATGTTCTGCTCCTTGGGATGGAAAAATCCTGATACACGCAGAGGTGGAGCTTGTACAGCACCATCAGTGAGGAATCAGGACTCAGCCTATGATCATGGAGCCTTGTCTGTATCTCTGATTATGCTGATGAACTGGTTTGTAATGCCAAACACAAGTGCATTTTCCTTTAAGTCCATAAATATTCCTGAGCAAAGCTTTTGGAAATAAATACTTGTAGGGGCTGTAATGATTCATGCACCAGTAAAATGAATGTGCACAGTAGTCTGTTATGGGTGGAGTATTAGCCAAGTTGAAACTCTTTCTGAGTAAGTTGAGAGTCACAGCTTGGTTTTAAACCAGGTCCACATAAAATACAAATCCTTCAAGTCCAGCTTTGTCAACATCTGCCTTTTCTTGCCAGTGTTTTTTTTTTTTCTCTGGGCAGCTATATTTGTTAGTTTTTGGCCTGTGTCACAAATTACTGCAGTCTTTTGCCAAAGCCTTTTCGGGAACCTTGGAGCTGATTGTTTTTGCTGCTTTTTGCTATTTGATGTACGCATTTAGAAAATAATTCCTCTTTCTGAAGTTCTGTGATTTCCATTTCATACCAGCCATGCTGTGGCTGATTCTATTCTCTCTATTTTTTAGAAGAGCCCTGGATTTATTAGGCCCAAAACAGACTAAAATAAATATCTTCACTCAGAAGCTGTATTTCACAAGGTTGTTTTACATATTTTCATAATTTACTTTTTTAAATCATAATGTAAGTTCTTTTTCCTTTTGCTGCCCTGGTCAGAACATTTAGTAGAGGCAGCTTTGTATTGGGCTTTATACAGGACTTTAAATTGTGCTGGACCCTTGTTACACCTTCTGATCCTAGGAAAAAATTATTTTCCTTTGTGCCCACCATGTGATTCTGATTCCTTTTATTTCCATGCTCTGGAATTACATGACCATTCTTTCCAGTTTGATTTTCTTCACTGGGTAATTGAGATTCTCATAGTGATGTTGTATTCAACTGTATTTTTCATCTGTGGATTTTTCATTATCTACAGCATGACAAAAAACATGCTTCAGTGGAGGCAAATAAGCCAGAAAAGGTCTGTGAAGCATGGCTCTTTCAAACATAAGTCTTCTGGGTGAATCACAGAAGTGGTGACCAAGGAGCAGTGAGTCTGTTCTATCTTTGTTACAGATTTAATATGTCGTTATGCAAACTAAATTTTCAGTGGACGTCAGTGATTCCAATTAACTATCTTGGCAATTCTGTAATGTCATTTCCATTTGCCAGTTCCTAGGTGGCCTGTACTAAGTGAACTCGGTAATTTTGGTTCAGTTCCATGCTTCCATCCATCTTATGACCATCCTTAACTGGATCTCTTTTAATAGTCCAGCTAAAGAGGCACAGATGGTCTCAAGCACCCGCCTTGCTCAGAGATGCAGTAACTACTGCAAGTCAAGGTTTTGAGACAATTTGGCCTCTTCTGGCACTGACCACCCTGCACCTGTTGTGTAGATAAACAGAAGTCTCATTCTTCAAGGCTATCACTTTTCGTGAGCATTAGACACCTTTATTAAAGCAAAATTTATTCATGACTGCACAGATCATCAACTTGGCCTCTCTGGAATGTGCCTATTCCTGTCCAATGACAGGCATGCAGCATTTACCACTGGGTGTACTAAAGATTGATGAGATGTACTAAGCCACTAATGAGGCTGATAAGACACTGTCACGTGCCAAGATAAATGTCTCCAATTTTATCTATGTCAGCAGCTTCCATATCAGACAGCTGAGCAGTTAGACCTCACTAAATGGAGCTACTTAAAGGTACAATAGGAAATGACAGTTCCCTCTTCCTGTACCTTTCTCTGCAGGCAGCAGCCTGAAAATGAAATATTTTGCAGAAAGCCTTCATATAGATACTTGGGGTTTGGGATCTGTTTTATGTTGTTTAAAATATTTATTTCATGCTCTGTGTGAAAACCTCAGAAAGAATGTGTAGTGATGTAGGATTAATTACCACAGTTACTGACACTTGTTTCTTGTGCAGTGAGACCATGTAATTCCCTGAAAGTTTTTCCCTTTTTATTTACTGAGGACTAGTAATTACTGAAAATGGACTTTACCACCTTCACATAAATGCCAGGAGAATGTAGAACATTCATGATGCAAATAAATCAATAAGGAAGTTGGAGGATGCAATGAGTGTCTTAGTGCATTTAAGAACAAACCAGAACAAAATCCCTTTTTTATAGACCTTTTTCCCCCCTATTGTTATGTGTTACTGTCTGTGTAACACATATGAGCTGCCCAGCTGCAGACCAAGCTATCTGTGGTATGAAAAACAAAAGAGTCAGATTGTCAAAGCTTGTCCCTTCCCTCCTGACAAATCTTAGTATAAAAGTGTGGAGTGGTGTGAATCAAGCCAGCCTTAACCAAACTGAGTCCTCTGAGAAGGCTGTAAAACATACCAGGTGTATAAGGAGTAAGTGCATTGTTTGCTTCTGATTAATTCTTTAGAAATGCTCCACAAGTCTCAGTTTGGGAACACCTGATGGCAAAAACTCTTAAGCAGACATGGAGTAGGCAAAAAAGCAACCCTGGCCGTATCTCTTCATTTTCCTACACCAGAGTTTTTGAGATGGTCCCTGGAAGTGGCTTCCTGAGCTCAAATTCATTTCACACCTTTCTTCATACAAGCCTTTGGAAATACCTTTTGATATTGGTGGCCCAGGTGCTATTCTGGAGAAAGAGATCCTTAAAAAGATAACAGGATTTTATTTTTTCATCGATTACATACATTTATTTAAGATTAAAAAAAAAAAAATCAGCAATGAAGTTAACCTGACAGACAATTAGCTGAAATCTTGTTGAATAATTGCTTTTGTCTCCCTCTGTTTGCTAGCAATAATATTTTTAATGTGCATTTCTGAGGCGGATTGAAGGTTCTGGCTGTAATGAAAATGAAATTACTACTACCAGTCCAGACATGAATTCATTTAATTTTATTGAAGCCAGAACCTTTGTTCGCCTTCTCACATACAAACTCACACAATGGGTTGACCTTGGGTTCTGCTCTGCCGAAATATTCCCCACCCTTTACACAAGTGCTCAGCCTGCTCCAGGCCTGTCCAAACATGTGTGTGCCAAGCCAAGTTGTTCAGCAGGGAAATAGTCAGTGTGCACAACCTTGTTTTGTTTGGGTCTGTTGGATGTGGGGACCACATGTGTTTTTTTTTCTGGTTTGTGGCTCTTTGGGAATGCTAATGGCTGTCTGCTTTCCTGCCCTTGCAATATCTGTTTGCCATTTTGCTGGCTCCTAAGTTGTCATTTGGCACTCGTGACCTAACCAAGCAGATCAAAGGCTTTCAAAGGGCAGGCTGCATGAATGCTTCCGTCTCCATCACCAATGCCCTTATTTTCCCTGTCTCCTCCCTCACCTCAAAATTTTGCCTGTGTGTTCCAAACCAACCTTTCAACCAAATGTGTGAGAGCCCAGTGGCCACCTCTGGGCCACCATTAGCTTACAGTAACCTTGTGCTATTTGATGGGAAACAGGGACAAAGTGGCCTTTGTTCCAAAGGTTGGTTTGTTTGTTTATTTTATTTCAAATGCCTGTGGGCTGTGACTCTCCTAATGTGTTTCCCAGGGACAAGGTGAAGAATGGTTTCATGGTTTCTTTATTTATAGTGCCTTTAGACATGACAAGTTTTTGTCATCTTCTCAACACAAAATTAGGAGCTCAGACATAAATCACTCAGCTCCTGGGATTGCTGCACAGCACTCTCATCAGGATTTATAGGAGACAGACTATATGAGATAATAATAAACTGAAAAGAACCCTTGTAACATGGAGGAATTCTTAAAGACTTCATGAGGAAAATTGTGTCCCTTAGAACGTATGGTGCAATTCTGCTGGAATTTGACATCTCTGTTGGGTTGGCAGCTAACAATGGGACTGAGGATATACTCAATCTTTTGGCTCATGACAAAAAGAGTAACTACCCATCATGTGTTACAAATATTGGAAAGTTATAAACACCACCACAGCCCACCCTCTTCCAACAATGTGCTGGAACATGTGTTTGAAGTTAAGCATGAGCTTTGATTAAGCAGGAGTGAACCAAGCTTAATCAAGATGTGAATGGATGGTTATGTAGCTACATACTCTTGTTGTATGGCTCAGTCTGTGAGATGTGGATTCTTGCTAAATGGTGAGCTTGACAAATCAGGGTCTAGAATTAAAAATAGTCATGTATACTGTTCTGAATTGGCATCCTAGAAAAGAGAGTAATAAAAGTCAGGCCTGTCTAGTATTGGTGAAAGGTGCTGGACACCAATTGAAGGAGCAGAAATAGACCCCAGTTTAAGACAGTTGTGGGAATGTGAAAAAAAAAAATGGATCTGTTAAGTAGAAGTCTTTTATTGGAATTTAGGAACAGGCATTGCTAAAACTGTGAAATAGGTCTTAGTGAAGTGATGAAAGCTTCATGTCTCAAAACACTGGAAACTAGGCTGAGTCAGGTCCACTAGGAGAAAGATAAACTGAGAAGGTCCTGATGAGGCTTAAGCAGCAAAATATGAAAATTGAACCATTTTCAGTTATAAAGGCCTGGTTATACATTTAACCTGCCATGTGCTCAGAAGCAGGATAAAATCTTCATAAATATTTTCTAGAAATTAAAATAAATCAGTGAGGTTTGTGTATGGGGATCTTCTCCTTTATATAGGTGGTTGGGGAACTGATGTTGGTTATTCATTTCAGGACTGAGTGCTTATGATGTAAAGTAGTTTGAAGTTCTATTTTTAAGGTATTCTGCATGCAGCCATAGGACTCTAGGTTGGTTAAGGTGAACATGAAAGTTTTGGATGCTGAATGTCTTTTCTTAATCAATTCTCTTGACTCCACTTTGAGTTTGCAATTTCTGATTGCAAAATAAATCCCTTGGTTCTGTGTTTTGGAGTTATTTTGGACAATTTTCACTGAGAACTAGTTGTAATAGTTTGGAGGCTTATGCTTGAGTCTGTATTTTGTCCATATGTAGGGCATTATGTCATGACCCCGTGATTTCAGTTAACTGACTTAATGTGTTTGTTAGCAAGGACTGTCCTTGGGTGAAACCCCTGGCTTAACACTGGCAGAGGTAGTTCAAGTGATGGAATAGAAGCACCTACATGAGTGATAAATTATCACTCAGTGGAAATGCAGTGACTTACAAAGGAGCTCTTAAAGTGCTTTCTTAAAATGCACCACTCAGTTGTTTTTTAAAGGAGCATACCAGCATTGCATTCAGAATATCTATATCTCTTTGGTTTTAGACCATTTAAATCTTTGTAGTGAGCTTTCCTGTATACATTGCCTGTGTACCAAGATAGTGTGATGAAGAATCAGAGCCTGGAAAAGGCTCTGGTGAGACCTGTTGGCCACATTAGTCAGGTCCTCTCCATTTCATGGAAAAATCATCCTCCTGAAGTTTTACTGTCTGCAAATACACTTCAGCTGGGATCATCCTCACAGCCTGTGGAAAGGTACCAGGGCAGTGTGTGTGGCTGAAATCACACAGCAGTTACTGATGCAATGCCAGTTTTGTTTGCAAATGGATGTGTTTTTCACTGTCTGTTTTCAGGGAGCCTGTGTGGTGATACAACCAGTCAGTGTTACCTGCTGCCAGTTTTGGATACTATATTTGTCCAGAGAAAGTACAGAAGAAGTGGCCTAGGGATGAAAATGTTGCATAATTTCTGTCAGTCTTTCCTGGCTGAGGATGCCTTGGGGATCAGCTGCCCTATTTCTGCTGCCATGTATCAAGGTAAATCCTTTGATGTGGACACGTTAGGTAAGGGTCATGTATAATGTATAATTTTCAATCTGGTCTTGGTAAGATTGTCCTCGCTGTGTAAGAGTTCAGTGCCCTTGTCTGAACCAAACCATTGTTAGCCTGCAACTGGTTCCTTTTCTGGAGCCATCTGGAATTTCCTTTGGAAAGGTAGGCCAATATTTATGTAAGACAACAAGAAGCACAAAACTCATGGTGCCTGTTTGACAGTTTGTGTTCCTAGAATTGTTCTCTTTTAGAACTCTGTCATTGCCCTAGACAGGGACTTACAGATTTTATTTGACACCACAGGGAAAAGACTCATAAGACCTTGTCAAGCCTACACTGTACACATAATGATGTGGTAAATCTTGCATTTTTAAGAAATTACATTTAATAAGCCAAATACCCAGGCTCTACTCAGTCATACAGTTACGTCAGTACTTGTTTTGTATCAACTGTCTTTGAACATTTGTCACTTTTAAAAGATCACAAAGTAGTCATGTATCTTCTCTGTTTCTTCTGCTTCTGATTTCAGGAGGGAATAGTATTGACAACATTCCTTCTCCCAATAAGATCCATTTTTCCTTTGGCAGACCTCAGGACTTTAGAAAGCCTGGAGGAGAAAGCTGCATTTCTTATGTGTTAACACTAGCAGTATGTTGGAAGACTGTGCTTTTGTTTCAATTAAGCTTAGAGATAATAGTGAATAAATTTGACTTGCATCATGTTTTAATTAGGTTTACTTTTATAAAAATACCAATACTGTTAGTTAAATTTTGAGTGTATTGAAGTCACTGTCTGTTTTTAATTTAATTGGAACCACATTTTCAAGCTTTGACAAATGAATGCAACCTTTAAATCTCAATACTGAAACCTCTGAAGCTGTGGACAGTTTATTTAACATGGACATGGTATTTAAGCTGCTGTAGAGGCCTAGAAGGAAGGAAAAAGCTGTGTAGCAGATACCTGAATTCTAGTATATATGTTAGTTTTAGTGGCTTTTATTGGAATGATTAATTGAATCTGGATATCCTTGGATAAAATTAATGTCTGCAATCTGCTCATTAGTGTAAGGCAAATGTTTACATACCAGAATTAGGGTTTTAGTTTTGACATCCCATTGTTAAACTCAACTGAATGTTGAAGATAAATTACCCATTCTGTAGTATGATGAACTACAGTGGACAGAGCATGACAGTAATTTTGTTGTTTACAGATCACTATCTTAGTGCAGTTGATGCAACTGATAGAGTGGTGGTTAAGGGAAGTTGAAAAATGCCCTTTAAATGTTTTGAACTGTTTGTTCTAGAGCATGTGCCTCCTCTTGACACTGCACACATCCTAAGGGTACCACTAAATAGAACATATTTCCATTTGATAACATAAGCAGATCTAAATTTGATTGTTTATCCAAATTTTTGGATGGTCACTGTGTACTGACAGTGATAGGAATCTGTGGCAATATGGTTCTTAAAAGTGACTGTACATCTGTCACACATATCCTGTAATTTTTTGTTGGTTCTTCCCATTTCTTTTTTCCCACATCCAAAGAAATAAATGAACCTAACAGTGGGGAGTAGGGTAGCAGTAGTAAAAAGGAGGGTGATTTTGGCCCAAAACCAAACTGAAGCAGAACTTTTCTTTGTAAACAAAAATTAAAATAGCATTCTGAATGTTTAAACCTGGAAGATAGAGGAGCACCTTTCCTTTAGTATAGTATTGATATATATTAATAATAAATATTTTATAATAAATATTCTATTTAGTATAGAATAGTAAGGGTAAAAAGCCCCACACTGCTGTGAAACCTATTGAATGTCTGGACATTGTTCTGTGCTGCAGTGCCAGTAAAAGGTGCTCAGCAATAATTTCAAGTCCTTTATTTCTGCACTCACAAGGAAATAATCTATACTGAAGCAGATGGCAGGATGCACTCATGAGTGTTTAGGCCATTTCACATAGACTTTTACTAAAAGTTCCAGCTAAAACAAAGCGGAGGAAGATGTGAAGGGAGAAGAAAGATTTCTAAAAGAACTAATGAAAGTCAGTCTGGGGTAGAGCATGCTCCCTCTTCCAATGTACTTTTCACTCATTCTTACTTTTACCCCCTTGTTTCTCCTTTCAGTATGCCAGAAATTCCTGCAGGCTCATCCTGAGGAGCAGAAGCGACTGTGGGAAGTGGAAGCACCAGGAGATTGGGGCCAGCGAGTGAATGTCTGGTTGAAAATTCAGATGGAGTCATCCCCTAGAGGAAGTGAGTTAAAACAGGCAGTGTGAACATGTCTGTGTAATAGTTCTATAAAGATAAGAAATGTAACCAAGGGTTAGGTAGTGAATATGGAGAGGTGTTGTCTCTGTTGTTTGCACATGGAGAAACTACTGAGTGTGCAGTCAGTTTCCTAATCTTTTCACAGTAAACAGGACAATTCTTAGAAATTATGAGGTAATGAAGTGGAACCACAGAGCATCTGAGAGATTCTGAACAAAGCACAGGCTTGGCATAAAGTGGCTGGAACTCCTGTTGCAGTGCACTTAGAGCAGGGTAGAAGTTAGCCCAAAAAGTCCCTGTTGCACAACACATTGTCTGGGTTATAGACAGGGGTTTGTTTCTCTGAAATTGTTAAAAAGAAAAAAAAATTGTATGGCCAGTGGGCAGTGTGTTTAATTACCTTCAATTGCTGCCAATACCATTCTTGGATGGAAACACAAAGGTTTTCATTATGGGTTTTGGAAGATTCCAAGTACTCTCCTACAGGGTAAATCCTTTTTGCTGGGAGCATTTTCTGCCTGTTTTACAAAAGATAGCGACAGAATGGGGAAACCTTTTCGCAGTTTGTATGGGGATCACGTTGATGTAATCTGTTCAGGTGGTTGGAGGACCCAGACAGGCCCCTCTGCTGCATGCACACAAGCTGTGATAAGCACTGGGCTCCAAAAAAAGGGCACACATTGTCTCTTTCTGGAAGTGCAGCAAATTTCTCCCATGCCTTCCCACATCCATCCTGCTCTGTTTTGGCTCGGGAACCTTCTGTTGAGACACCACGTTTCATCTTGTCTGCAGCACCCACAGGAGAGTTAAGTCAGACTTTAGCCTTAGGCTGGGTTCCTCTGAAGCCATTATATCTGTGTTCCTCTTGCTTTAAACCAGCAAAACCTTTAATCTCGCTAAGTGAAGTTTATTAATGGCAACTGAACAGAACTATGATCAGATCAAATCTCAGCAGCTCCTGGGGGAGAGGATGCTTTCTTTTTTCTTCTTTTTGCCATCTTCTAGAAAAACAAATAGATGAATGACCCAAAGAATGGGGAAATATCATTCCACCAGAATTACTGTCAGTAAAAAATACACATGAAGCTGGGAAACTGGCTTGACTGAAGCTGTCCACTACCTAAAGGGGGACATTAAGAAAGATGGGGCTAAAGATTTTAGCTGAACTTGTTGCCACAGGACAAGAGATAATGATTTTAAACTAAAAGAGGATAGATTTAGCCTAGATATAAGGAAATAACTTTTTACTATGAGGGTGTTGAGGCCCTGGTACAGGCTGCCCAGAGAAGCTGTGGCAGCCCCATCTCTGGAAATGTACAAGGTCAGGTTGCATGGGCTCAGAGCAACATGGTCTTGTAGATGTCCCTGCTCCTTGGTGGAGGTTGGATTAGATGACCTTTAAAAGCCTTTTCCAATCCAAACTATTCTGTGATTCCATGATTCTATCTTTAGGGGTCTCTCTTGGGAACAAGGTCTTCATTCCTACTTTCTCTGTTATGCAGAAAGCAAAACACAATGTAATTCAATATTGTCAGCTCCAATCAGGATCTATGGCAACAACTGTGAAAATAGACAAGTCTTATTCTGTTCTGATTTCTTAGATTCCTGTTGACATTTGCAATGCTGTGCAATGCTGTGTTTTGGAACAAAATTACTGAGAAGAAAAATTGAATATTTTGCTTATATTATGGGTTTTTTTTCCCCACAGCAGTACTCAGGATTGAATACCATTAATGTTCTTGTAGGAATTCTACAGTCATACATATTCCAAAACAGATTTCTGTAATCCTGAGGTCAGAATATTCAATTTTGCAAGGTGGTGTGGCTGCATCTAGTGGCAGCTCGTATAAACTGCATCCCTCTCTTTGCTGCAGCTGATACTTCAGTTTGGATGTGCACAGATACATAGGCATGTACACACACACACACACACACATTTATGTCTGCACATGCACATATATCTATAAAAATCAAGCTTTTTAGCATGTTGTCACACATAGCTGCAGTCATTCATTCTTATTGTTTGAAAAATTTAGGAGATTTAGTTTCATCAAATAGTCTCAGCAACAGGAACATGGTGACATTTCTCTTCTGGGACTGATTGGAGGAACAGAAATCATTTCACATGGTTTGGTCGTGGTTGCTAAATCTACCAGGCAGTGAACAGAGCTGTTTTGAAGTAGTTTAGTAATATACATAAAACATGTAAATGTTAAGCTAGTGCAAAACCAAGCATGCTGAGAAGAATTAAAATAAATTTCAAGTGATTACATATAGATATTTATCAGAATTCATCAGAGTACCTGTATTTTCTGAAAAGGAGAAAGGGATATGGGTTTTCCAGATGTAAGAGGTGAACAGATTATCTATTTAGCAGCACTTTCAAGATGCACAGACATTTTGTTTCTAGGGAAGTTGTTCATAGTGTAGTTGTTCACCTTAAGTTTTTGTCTTTGTGTCATGGGGCACTCTGGCTTGGTAAATTAACAAAAATGGAGCAAGAGGGATTGTAGGTAAGAGTCAGGTGGCTTTTTCTGGTGTTTTTTTTAAATGGAAATAGCCATGGAAGTATTATCATGTTTTTTCCTTTTTAATCTATTTCTGGGGCAAAATATTCCCGCAATTTCTCCAGAGGCTGAAGTGGGCTCTTGTATGGAGAAGACTCCAACTACCAAACCCAGACAATCGGACCAGATGAATAAGGTACAGTAACTAATATGCTATCTTATGACCTTGTTTTCCATTGGTGACCTTTTCCCTTTTCAGTGGAGAGGTTTAAATATGAGAAATTTCCATAGGTGTGTTGTGCTACTGACTCGTATATCTATGTAGGTAGTTGGAATAAATCAGCTGAGACTCCATTTTCTTCATGCAGAAAGCCAATTCTTTATTCACAAAGCTCATATTTATAAGAAATATCAGAAGGCACTGTGTTAAACCTAACTTACCAGCAATACAGTGAAACTCAGTTCATTGGACAGTAAGGGCTATTGTATATGTCTATAAAAATTTTCTCTCTCTAGATATGTTTACATTTTTCCTTTGTGGGTTCTCATGGGACAAATTTTACTGTTTACACCACAGGTGCATTTGTTTTTCACCCTCAGAACAGGTTGTTGTGTTAAAAAAATTCTCATTCTTAAAAAAACTTCACATAGGAACTTGTAAATTGCTTTTTAGCTGCACTTAGAAGAAATAACAGGCCAGCTTTGGCAGTTTTAGCAGAGTGAGGCCTGATTTCACAAGGCCTTTCTTCTATAATTCTTCTGCCTATGACATCTCACCCTTTTCATTAATTTAAAAAAAGCTCATATGTTCTGATGCTAAAACAGCTCGCTCTTAGGAGGCTATTATCTCATTAAGCTTATCATTGGTTATCTGTTAGACATGGGATAACATACATAAAAGACTGATTACAATCAACAAAAAATATCAGATTCCATCATGTCATTGACACAGGTTTTCGCAGCATGAGAAAACAAAGGAAAATGGAAATAGGGAAATGGAAATAAATGACCATTGTTTTAAAGTCCAAATAGTTGAGACTCAGGAGAAAGTTTATTAGGTGGAAATGTTGATGTTTGACATCACTGAATGTCCTCCTGGATCCTGGAACAGGGAATGACTGAAGAAGATTAGTAGGAACACTGTACCATGATGATGAGATCAGGCTTTTGTCAGTAAATGGACTCTGTAGTTTGCAGACACAGCTGTGTCTTGTTCCTGTTCTTCTGTTCCTGTTATGGCCATGAAGGCTGCATGGTGGTTAGGTTATTTCTCTTTCCACTGAGCCTCATTTTCTCAGAGGCCATCGGTCCGATTGAATGAACAGGTGATCGCTTTCAACCTGCTGATGATAAAACACAAGCACACCTTCTCTTCAAGTCAGTGAATCAATTAGGCTTTGCTGTGGCGCATTCAATTGTGATCTAGATTTGATGATCTCTTTTCCATTATTGCATTATTCAAAAGGCTTAAAACAGGCCGTGAGGTTTAAATGAAACCCAAGCCATGTATCTGAGAAAACAAATCGCAGGAATGAAGCTTTTTCAAGTAATAAAGAAAAAGGCGAGGTGAGTGGAAGCGCAACAGAGAGCTGCAGGGGTTGTTTCCCCAGCACATTTTGGTTGCCACACAATTAAATCAGTTTGTTTCCCTCAGCCCTGAGTGTCCCAGGGGAGCTGTGATGGCTCCAGCCCCTGTGGTGCACGCTCTTGTTGTGTGCTGTGGCCACAGCTTCAGAGCCCACCCAGCCAGATCAAGGCTCCCTGTGCTCCCAGTTTTCCTTACACTGACACTTTGGGAAGGGAGGCAAAGCAGCAGGAATGAAGCTGTTCTATACAAAAAATGCAGCTGAGTTTCTTGCCTTGCATGTTGATGGCAGCTGTGGCCAACAGAAGTGCTTGATATATAGGATCAAGTCACTGTTTATTTTGTTTGTGTATAATTTGCTGTTCCTTCTGTCTTGTCTCTAATTTCAGGGTGTTGACTGCTTTCCTGGAGTTGGGCAAGTGGGAGGAGATGCCATGGAGAAAAAAGATGACACAACAGCAGCAGGGACTCTAAACTCACAAGGTCCTGAAGAGGAGGACTTGGAACAAAGTGCAGGCAATTCTCAAAAACATAAAGGACTCAGGAAAAGAGAAGGTCCTGGGGACTTAGTTGGAGACAAGGCCACTAAACAATTTAAAACTACACCATAATTGCTATTTCAGAAATCAGCAAAATTCAGTATGATCTTAAAAATTGTAATTGACTGTTCCTAATTTGTAACAGTGAATAAATTTCTCCAGGTATGATGAAATTTTTTTGCAGTAGGCGTTTTTCATTTTATGTTTTGTTTTAGATAAAGCTTTTGTTTAATAAGTGTGCTTTTCTTTTTCTTCTCATAAAGTAATTAAGTAGTAGCTGAGCTTAGTTATTTCCCTGCTCTGAAAAGATTTTATTGGATTGCATGAGGTGTCCAAAGGGGAATAATTGGAGGGCTTGTAGGTACTGATGTAAGAAGATATTTCTATGGAAACCACATCCTGCATTATGGAAGAGAGATACCACAACACACGTTGGTATCAGAATGACAGTTGTAACCTTCCTTTCAGAGCAAACAATTGATATTGAATTGCTTTCATTTGAGTTTTTCTAGCAGAAAAATCTGCCTTGAACCCTGTGGTGGACACGATGGCACACAAAGACCGTTCATGCAGAAAAAGTTTGGTGTGGAGAAGAAGAGTGAACAAGCTACAGGCATTAAACTGCCTTTCAGTTCAGGGACTGTGATAATTCTGTGTGCAAGCTCAGGGTGTGGAACTTCATGTAGATTCCATATTGCATGTTTTATTTCCTAGAGGCTCTGTCCTTGTGTTTTGCATTCAATTAACTTGGAAATATAACATACTTCACTAGATTACCATGCTGTGGCTTGGTAAAGAAATTTTGCTCTTTTACCACAGGCTGGTTCTGTGTTAAAATATTTTAATTTTTTTTTCTTTTTTTGTGGGGAATTTCAAAAGCCTGAATGTCGTGTTAATGAATTTCAGGTGAAACTCATAAGGATCAGATCTTTAGTCCAGTGGCAGGGAAGGCTTTGCAAAGAGGTGAACAGCAGGAGGGTCCTGATTATCCTGAACAGATCCAACAACCTGTAATTCTTAAGTGGCTGCCTTGGAAAAGGAGAGGTAGTTGTTTCTTTCCAGAAACTAATCCAGTATTTCCAGGGAGACAGATCTATGGGCAGGCATTGTAGGTACACTGTAGAGATGTATGTTTTTTCCCTGTACAGCATAATTGCTCACACATAGCCCCATCACCCTGTTTTTGTTTAAGGTTGTGATTTAATGGAGCATTTATTCATGTATCCAAGTAACTCCTTCCCTGTTGAGCTGCTCTGTAAACCATATGCCTGAGACACAGTGAAATCAGACCTTCCTGAGCATCTCTTAAAAAAAAAAAAAAAAGCTATAATTGGAACTTACAGGATTTTGCCAAGAGAATTAAAACATTGGATCGTGTGCCAGCCTTAATCACGTTGCTATGGTTCTCTTGTTGCAAAGAAAGTGCATTTAGGACTAACTTTCAAGTCCTTGATCTTAAGGTTGTTAAAAAGTCACCAAGATTGTGCTGTGAAGACTTCTTGACACTCCATGTCTGCCTCTGGAACAGCCTATATTCTTATTAAAGGTATGGTTAAATACATACTTTAAAAAAAATAAATTTGTGAAGATTTGCAATACCAGTTGCTTTGAAATATGATAGAAAATTATTATATCTCTGCTCATGAAAGCTGGTCTGGACTTGCAGTGGCCTGGCAAAGTGAACTCATGATGAGACACGGTGCTGGTTCTGCTCAGGAGACAAGGAGGTGAGTGTGTGTGTGTGTGTGTGTGAGAGAGGGGTGGCAGATGTGCTGAGAAGGAGGTTGTATCTATGGTTCTTACAAGCAGAGACACTGAAGTCGGGCCTGCAAATAAGATGTTAAACATCAAAATTAATGTTAGCAGTCATCTGGTGGGTGTGTGCCAACTGAAAAAAGGATTTGACTCGCTCTCAAGACAAGTAAACATATGGATTTTAAGGCTAGAAATTTCATTAGGTTAATCTGTCATGTTTCACATAATGTAAGCCAGACAATTTCGTGCATGGTTGCTGTGTCAAAAAATCATTGGTTTTGGTTGAAACAATTCATTTTTTAGAGGGATTGTTTTGATTTGGCAGTTTTGATTTTCAGATGTAGCAGATTTCCCACTGCCCAACGTTTGTTGGCAAGTTGTTCTAAAGTTTTGTCTTTACAAGTGCATCCAGTTTCCTTAGTCTGAATTAATTTTCTTTCAGCCTCCTGTGGTGGGTTTTGGTTTTCTGTTTAACACTGAGCTGTGGCTCTGGTACTGTCAAGATGCTTTCAAATGTGGGGATGGAGAGTTTGTGGTCTGTCATGACATCAGTGAACAGCACTGGTTTTTGGATCTGCCTCTGTGAGGCAGCTTCTCCTGACCTTGCTGCATTCTTCTTGTCCTTTCAGATAGATTTTCAATTTTTCAAATTCCTTTTAGAAGCAGAAACATCATCAGAGCCCCTGTCCTGGTCCTGGTCACGCTGAGCAATGCGGTGCTGCCGTGACCTGTGCTTGTAAATCATCACGGAATTCCCTTGTGCTTTTGGATAACCATGCCCTTGGTAAGGTCATAACTGGTAAAACTTAACCAATCTGTTTTGGTGTCTGGTTTGTGATATCTGCAGTGAAATTGCAGCCTTTGCAGCGTCCCCTATCTCAGCACCACGAGATGGCACCATTACACAGCATAACTTTGTCGTTATCTCTTGGGGCTGGAGACCCTGCCCGGGGTTTAAGTGCATCCCGGCTTGGCTTGGCTTCCTCGGGAAGGAGGATGGGGATGTGGTAAAGCTTTTGTGTTTGTTATTCAGGCTCGTTTGTCTCCAGTGGGCTCCAGGACGATTTTTTCAAACATTTGTGAAGTCAAAGTAGCACAAAATGCAAATTGCACCCAGATTTTGCCCTCTTGTCTCATCAGGAACCCTGGCTGTGACTTTCTATGTTGTATCTCATTGATTCCCAGCAGATGATTCTGGCTCCATTGTGCAAAATTTTTAGATGTTTGGAATAGAAATTAGTGCTCAATAACTGCTTTGACTTGTATGACTAGATTCTGAGAAGTGAGCCATCCAAAAGACTGCCAGACAAGTAGGTGTCAAAGTAGAAAAGAATCATGGATGTTCAGATTCACATTTTAGTGTCCTTTCCTATGGATGAAGAAGGGAGGAAACAGTGTAAACTTCATCAACCTGGGTACTTTTTAATATTTGCATATTAAGGATGTTGCAGAAAAAGGGGAAAGTAATGTTTGCAAATTTAATTTCTGCTTTGTCAACTTTATTGCTCAACTGCATAAACAAAGAATGCATCCCTCTGTAGTTCATTGTTTGTTACTGTCTTAGGCCTTTCTTTATGTGTTTCTTGTTACAGATGAGCATGCAATAAAATTAAAGTACATGGGAAAACAAATTAGGAGTTTGTAATTAGCTTGCTTTGCTATTTATTTCCTCTTGTAGTCCAGCTTGATGGTGAAGTCACAGTTTAATCTCCTCTATTTGCACTAGGCTTTATTGACTTTTTCTCTTTTGAAGGTTGGGGTTTTTTTTGTTTGTTTGGTTTTTTTTTGGTGGTGTTTTTGGTTTTAATTTAAACTGAAGGCTCCATTTTTGGAAGATCAATAAACTCCATCTGGAAGAATTCTTTTCTCCCAGCCACCTGACACTTAGATGAAGTTGAACTTTTTCCTTTTTGTTTTTTTTGCATTCTCAGGGAGGAGATCAGAGGTTGCATTCACCATGATGAGAGCATTTGGGGATGTCGGCATTCATTCACCAACACTGGATTTGTAAATTAATAGCTCAGCCTCTCTGGACTGTGGTATGTTAAAGGTCAGTGACCATGAGAGGAGAAACACTTCAGAGCTATGCGTGCCCTCTGGTCAGCACAGTGACCTTGGCTTAATGGCTTTAATTTCATGCTGCTTTTAAAAGATACAGATGTGCAGCATACCTTCAATCCTCATACCTGGAACCAGTAATCCTGTCCCAGCTTTCTGCAAGGACTGGGGAGGGAGAACACAGGCACCCTTCCTAGAAGGATTAGTTGAACTGACTAATTTTCTGAGTTTCTCCTTGCTTGGAATATCCAGGCCTTTGATAAGTATCTTAACCAAGATGCCTTTTGGTAAATGCTATCTTCAAGCCTCACAATATAAAAGAGCCTTCTGATTCCCCCGCCCTCTCCAGATCTTGGGGCTGGTTCAATCTTTTTTAAAGCTATTTCTCTTGTGCTGCATGCAGAGCCCATCTGCTGTAATACAGACTGAAATGCTGCTTTTATCCTTGTTTGCGTAGAAGGTTGATGGGTAAATCAATTGGAGTGAAAGACGCATTGTCCCTCTTTGCTCTATGTCACAAGCACAAATATCTTCCTTTTAAAGTGTCTCTTGGTAGAAGCCAAAGCCTTTGGCACAAGCCACCTCTGCTAGTTTGACCCCTTTTGTGCATCTGGGATGGAGGAGCAGCTCTGAGAAGCACAGAACAAAACCAGCAAAATAGCAAGAGAAAAGGTCAAGAAGGGGTCTTGCTCCCTGTAGACATCAGAAGTTTCTGCAAGATGATATTTAGCATGTCCTGCCTGAACAGTTAAGGCATCAAAGACACGAGCACTTCGATAGGTAATATCCTCATGAGTTGTCAAATAGATTGCAAAGCACGTTGCTCTGCCATGCTGGGCATGGGAGGGAGGGACCTTGTGTCTTTCTTGTCATTGAGGTAACTGAGACTGAGAGCTTCAGAGAGCCTTTGCTTCCACAGATGGATATTCCATGCTGTGCTCTGCCCTTGCCTGGCTTTTGACTTACAGGCCTAAGCTCATGGAGTGGTGCTGTGGGCCTGCAGAGGAAGGGGAAGGCAGGCTTCTACCAAAGACAGAGCTGGCATCAATTCCCAGCAATAGAAGCTCTTGATTTTTGCCTCTGTATTTTTGCCTGGTTGCAGCCTTGCAGTGACATTCTCAGACCAGTCAGTCTCTTTGATGCAGTGTAATTACAGTGCAGAGATGATTCCAGCAATGGGATCTGAAGAGGAGGTAACACATGCGTGGATAGTTCCCCTCTCAACATAGCAGGGTCAGGACAAGCAGTATTACCTGTGCTAGTCAAGGGAAAAGGTCAATTGGTATTAGAAATCTAAGAGGCAGACAGAATCCTATTGCTCAGGACCTGGAAATGCAGGGAAGCACAAGCCTGGCAGCTT